TATATATATATATATATATATATATATTTGGTAAAATTAGTACAATGTTGACATTATTTAAAATAGATATTGAGCAATATAAACTACACTGTCATCACCAGGTCTCAAATGTGGCATTTGTTCACAAGTAACATTATTCTCAAGCAGCATTTCGAAACAGATCCTTCACATAGTATGGATTACACTGAATAGTATTTTATTGAAATCAAATGCTAGATTTAAAACTAATACTTAGACAAAAAATTAGTAGAATATTTCATATACGAGAAAAAAAAAAGCATCATAATTTTCTAATTTATAAAGACATTTAAATTTTATTTAATAATTTATTTTCATTATGCTACTAATTCAAGAAATAAAGTAAGTGCGACTGACAGGTCTCAGCAAAAAAATAAAAAGATATGCAAAAGCATATATTCATGCTTTCATACATCATTATTCATTCATGCTTTCATATCATATATTCATGCTTTTGTACATTCATTCGATTTAATAATTTATCATTATTATGCTACTAATTCAAGGAAAAAGTAAGTGCGACTGACACGTCTCGGCATATACTCAAGCTACATAATTTTTTAAAAAATAAAGCTTTTTGTGTCATCAAACCTTCTTTAAATCATGCCAACAGAAAACATTTATTTAAAATGACGGAAGATTACTAAAATTGTTGTGTTATGTTCAATGTCATTTATGTATTAAATTCTTCTGTTAAGACATCATTTATTGAAAAAATATAAAGCAATATTTCTTGGCTATTAAAATTAGAAAACAGTGTAACAGCTTTAAATATTATTAAAATCTTGTAGTTTCAAATAAATAATTTAATTAAATGAACATTAAGCTATTTGTGAATGGCAATATTTGAAACCAGACTCGAGTGCCACGTGCGACTCTCGCACGAAGAATGTAATTTATTTTTAAATGTTAGTATTCTTTTTCTTCTTGTTTTGTATGTCGCCATTCGAGTGCTAAATAAAGTTTTTCCTGTGTCCCATCATTGGAGTTGCTTCATATTGCCAAAGAAGTATCACAGTCTTAATTATTTTGGAGGCACCGACCAAGAACCATAAACGATGCCAGCCAGCGATCCGGCTGTGTTCCTCAAACGACACGCCGGGCAGCTTCCGGGAAACCAAAGCTTTTGGGTTCCGGGGGAAGTATGGTTGCAAAGCTGAAACTTAAAGGAATTGACGGAAGGGCACCACCAGGAAAAAAGCCTGATAGTTGTTCTCACCAGATTAATGCTGTCTCTACTAGAGCTCAAAGGAAAAGAGAAATAGCTGAAGAGAAGCTCTTGGAACTGATGAAGGAAGAAAATAAAGCATCCAGAGATGTTTTTGAAGAAGAAGATAATTTACCGGAACTAAATACGGAAGATGAAGCTCTCATGAAACTGGTAAAAACTGACTCAGAAGAAGTTGCACGACTTCAGCTTACTGATAAGGAACTGTCTAAAATCATCCAAGAAGTTAAAGAAGGTACATGCAAAAATGAAAACTATAGTCTGACAAGAAAAGAGCTTTTGGTTAAAAAAACGATAGATAAAATGGGGTTTGAAAGACAGCTTGTAGTTATACCTGAAAAACTCAAATTGTCAATTATAAAGATGTGCCACAAAGGAACTTCTGGTCATTTGGCTGTCAAAAAGACCAAGACAGACTTGGTAGATATTTTTATTGACGAGGGTGTTACAAAGAAACTGAAGATTTGTAAGAACCTGCGATGCTGTCAGCGCACTGGAAAAGGAAATGACAAAAAAGAAGGCTCCAATGACATTAGTACCAGTAATTTCCGAAATATCACTAAAATAAATGTCGATGCTGTTGGTCCGCTACCTATTTCAAAGATTGGAAAAAAATTATATTATAAGCTCTGTGTATGTCGTCCAATATCCAGATGCTGTTGCGGTGACAGACATTTCTTCGCCATCGTGATTGATGCTCTTACAGATTTTCATTCGTATGGATTTTCCCAAAAGTGATCCAAAGAGATCAGGGGATCCAAACTCTTTCGTCAGTGCTTTGACAGAGGAATTTTTGGTGCGTTTCGGCATTAAACATTGCAATAAGCTCTGTGTATCATCCGCAGAGTAATCCCGTTGAGAGATTCCATAGAAGTCTAAAAAAAGGAGTTAAATGTATAGGAGCAACTTCTGATTGGGAGAATTATCTACCATCAATTCTTTTTGCTCTCAGAACAGTCACATACGAAGGCTCTGGTTTTATACTAGCAGAACTTAGTTCATGTCAAAACCTACGAACGCCAGTCACTTTTCTTTATGAGCAGTGGCTAGAACCGACTGAAGAAAGTAATAATGTTGTCGAACGTTTTCGAACTTATTAATCGAATGAAGAAATGCCAAGAACTTGCCGAGGAAAACCTGAAAGAAACTCATCAACGGAGGAAAACATGGTACGATCGAAACGCAATGAAAAGAGAGTTTGCTAGAGGAGATTTAGTTCTTGTTTTATTGAACGAATCGTCAAAGTAAACGGAAGTACAATGGAAAGGACCTGGAAAAATAGAGCAGAAAATGTTCAGAAACCAATATATGTAAGTTTCGGGAACACTGAGCCAAATCAAGTACATCACATTAACATGCTAAACCATATTACAAAAGACCAGAAAATGATTAATATGAAACTGAAGTGGAAGGAGACGAAATGGACATTCCTCATTTACCTTCCAATCCAAGTGTATAAATTTCTCGGACATCATAGAGGAGAATGAACTCGAGAAAAGGTTGAAAGGCGAGCAAATAAAAGCTACTGGCAAATTCCGTTAGCAGAAAGAGCCCAAAGATATGCAACATTTGTAACTAGTTATGGAAGTTTCAGGCCTCTACGTTTAACCTTTGTATTAAAAAATGCCCCATATTTTTTTAGCAAAGTTATGACTAAGTCCTGGCTGGATGCGAGGATCACTGTACATACTGGATGACATGCCATTACTCAGAAAACTGGGAAGAGCACCTTCCTTAAAAAACCTAACTTCTGTTTAGAGAGAATACAGAAAAGCAAACTTATGACTAAAACCATCAAAATGTAAATTGCACAAGATCAAGTGAGATACCTAGGCCATGTGTGTGACAAAGACAACGAACCCCGGATGAGTAAAGATCTGGCTGTGAAGGAGTATCCTACACCTAAGCCAAAACAGAAGTAGTGCTTTCTTAGGACTGGTAGGGTATTATCGCCAGTACATACCGAGATTTTCGGAAATTGCTTCACCCCTCACGGACGCTTTGAAGGGGGGGGTGTACAAAAAAAAAAGGAATATACAATGGTCTGAAGTATGTGACAAAGCTTTTAAAAATTAAAAGAGTTGCTATGCAGGAAATCAATTCTGTATGCTCCCGACTCGATAAAAGGTTTATTATACAACTGATGCCTCAGACATGCATGGGTATAGTACTATGCCAGTTAGATGATGAACAACATGAGCATCCTATCTGTATATAAGCAAAAAATTTACTAAATTTGAAAGAATTATTGTACTACTGAAAAGGAGGGCACTGCTATCATCTATGCTATCAAGAATTACATTTTTATCTGATGGTCAGCCAAGAATTCTTGATTCAAAACTGATCATAACCCTTTGGTCTGGCTACAATCCAACGCCAAATGTAACTCTAGATTGATGCACTGGGCACTCTCATTACAACCTTATAATTTTAAGGTCATTCATCGCAAAGGAATTTGCACAAGACGTAGTAGATGTTCTGAGTAGAATTAAGTAATATAATAACTCTTAGAGTATGTAACCACGTTTAGAATTTATTTTATTATTTAATGTATGCTCAACTGATGTATTTGAATGATCTCCATTTCTTTTTATTTAAATGTGGTGTAAAAGTATTTATTTAAAACTTAAAATCTTCGGCCTGAAATTTGATTGTAACAACTTTAAATATTATTAAAATCTTGTAGTTTAAATAATTTAAATAGATGAACATTAAGGTATTTGTAAATGGCAATATTTGAAACCAGACTCGAGTGGCACGTGCGAGTTCTCCATTTCTTTTTATTTAAATGTGGTGTAAAAGTATTTATTTAAAACTTAAAATCTTCGGCCTGAAATTTGATTGTAACAACTTTAAATATTATTAAAATCTTTAGTTTAAATAATTTAAATAGATGAACATTAAGGTATTTGTGAATGGCAATATTTGAAACCAGACTCGAGTGCCACGTGCGACTCTCGCACGAAGAATGTAATTTATTTTTAAATGTTAGTATTCTTTCATCTTCTTGTTTTGTATGTCGCCATTTGAGTGTTAAATAAAGTTTTTTCTGTGTTCCATCAGTGGAGTTGCTCCATATTGCCAAAGAAGTATCACAGTCATAATTATTTTGGAGGCAGGTTGTAACAGCTTTAAATATTATTAAAATCTTGTAGTTTCAAATAAATAATTTAATTAAATGAACATTAAGCTATTTGTGAATGGCAATATTTGAAACCAGACTCGAGTGCCACGTGCGACTCTCGCACGAAGAATGTAATTTATTTTTAAATGTTAGTATTCTTTTTCTTCTTGTTTTGTATGTCGCCATTTGAGTGCTAAATAAAGTTTTTTCTGTGTCCCATCATTGGAGTTGCTTCATATTGCCAAAGAAGTATCACAACAGGAAGTGAAATTATCTTCACAGTATGTATTCACATCCTATATATATATATATATATGCAATTTGTACCCATGTAGTAAAGTGCTTTATTGAAAAATACATATTGAATCAAATACTTTCACACAAAATACAACTCTGAAAAAATTATAATAACCCAAAATAATTAAATTATACTGCTAACCAATTTAATATTGTAGAAGATTATATTTTATGAAAAATTTTCACTATTGTAATTTAATAAGCAATTTTGTTCTTAAACTCTTTTTAAGGGAAATCTTTCTAATGATGAGGTTATTTTCAGAATAATGATCTTAACCATTAATGAAAACAATTTAAAAAATTATTATCATGTAGAAATTCACTTTAAAAATATAAGCAATTTAACAAAAACAATTTTATTTCATAAGTAACTCGGTAGATATTTTTCAATGTTGAAATGAAAATATCAGTGATGAGCTATTTCTGAAAATATACAGCTTGTACATATGCAAATGTTTAGATGCAGGCAAGAGCATTATCACATTACAAAATTTACATACAGAGTATTTTGCAAATCTTGAAGCCAGAAATAAAATTGACAACTATTGTACATTAATAAAAAATATTTTGGCATAGTAAAGGGTTGGCATATAAAAATACAACTGTACAACGTTCCAATTTAAAAATCAAAATATATCAAAACAATTTATATTTATTTCTTTTAATATTTAATAAAGAACACTATATATTCACACATCCTGCAAAAATATTATATAAAATCTTATATTTTGCTCAGTTAGTTACAGAGAGCTTCTAGTATAATACAAGAAATATTACACCTCTATGCACTTTTACTAGTCATTTTCTTATTTATGAATGAATATTTTACAGCAAGAATTGACAATGTGAAAAGGAAGCAAGTCTAAAAAAAGCAAAAAGTAGTTAATTTTTAAGAAAAAGAAAATAAGTTCATATATAATATACTAGTTTCAATTTAGAAAATATTTATGCAATTATTTTTAAGAATGTTTATTATTTCAATAATCTTAATCATAAAAATTTTTCCTTATAAATCATGTATAACAAAGGGAAAAAATATATACACATTGAAACAGTAAAAAAGCTAAATGGAATTACAGAGCAGGATGCAAAAAGCTTTTCACCTACTTTTACAAGACAAGAAGTTAAAAATGTTATGCCCTCCAAAAGCAGTTAACAATTCAACATCAGATCCTTCACATCATGATTTTAACACAAAACAGGAAATATATCTAAAGTCATATCATGAATCTTGACCAGGTTACCATACTAAAAATATTTTAGTATAAAATTTTAAATAATTTTATGTTTATTAAAGTTTCTTTGAGTACACAATCAAATTTAAAATGGCTTATCTCGAGTTACATCTGAGTGCCATATTTTAACATGTTTAACTCAGAGCCAAGTTAAACTAGTTTTTTTCACTCTCGCCATATGATTTTATCATCTATTACATAGTCACTTACTAAGTCCAATCGTTAAAAATTTGGAAAAAAAAATATTCCATCGATATGGAAAGTTGTATATTACTTACATATACGTAGAATTGCTTTACTAATGAAAAAGTATCAGCTTTTCTAGCAGAAAAGTTTTAATATAGGCACCACTTTAGTATTTCAGTATTCAGTATGTTTAGTATTTCAGTTACTAAAAAGGGCACGGGATGTTAAAATAGGAAACTTAAGAGAAATACATCACAGATATCAATATTTTATTTTGGTATAATAAGCAATGTTCCCTGAACAGCAAGTATGGTCCCAAGAAAAAAGGCACACACTGCAGCACATCTGCAACTGATCTCTTCGTGTATGGCCAAATTCAGCATATTTTAATGAAAAAAATAAATAAATATTACAACATACATTTTGCATTTTGGAGAAAGTCTGGATTTCTTACATGTTGATTGTACGAAATAAATCAATCTCACAAATTACAATTAAACTGAGAGGAAATATTTAAAACAATTCTAATTTATATATTCAGATAATTTTTGATTTACACAAGCATCTGCATAAATAGATATACATAGCTTTAAAATGTTTACACAGGCAATTCCAATCAACTAGATGCAATTTAACTAAGCCTTATCTGAAAAATTACCGGTTTACTTATAGTGGAATAATGGATATAACAAATTATCATAAAAAATATAAAGCAAAATTTATGACATTGTAGTTGACAGCAGATGATATCATCGTAATTTAGAACTATTTTTATCTACATCATGTAATTTAATTACATGTAATCTGGAATACATAAACAATGTACAATACAAGACAAAGTTCTAACTAATTTTTTAAAGTGGGTTTGAACTGGGTGACATTGTTCAAGTTTCAAATACTGTTTTTATTCTATTTATAACTTAGTTGCTTTAATTCTACTGATGTTTATTCTTCCATTATTTACCATTTATTCTTTTTACTTTGAATACTGATTTAATTGCTGTAATCAAATTAATCCCTAGATTAAACTCCGTGAAACTATAAATAAACTGTTAGCAGTATTTTTCTGTTATTAGAAAATTAATTATTCATCTCTCTTGTGAATTTTAACTGCCTTCATATCAATTGCAGTTTCAGGTTAACTGTACACAACATTCAAAGTATCAGTTCAGTAAACTGGGAATTGAATGCAATTTCAAAGATGGTATGTCTGATTTTGTTTATAATATTCATCTTTATCACTTCCATAAAATTATTCAGTCGATGTATTGTAACTTAAGTATTTAAGTAATTCTTAAAATTTTAAACAAATTTAAAGGTTAATTAATTTGATTCAAGCATAAAATTATAGTACAGAAAACTTTAAAAATCAATGACCTACACTTAACAAGTTATAACATTTTTTAAAATTAAACACAATTTTACTCTATGTTTATATATTTTACAAAAATTGTTTCCATTCCTATTATTGAATTTCCAATTCACATTTTTAATAAAATAAATTATAATTCATACACATGTTACACATGTAGTGAATTCACAATTTTCTGATAAATTTATAAATACAAAAACAAAGATAAATGACTATTCACATAAAGAAGCTTTTTTTCAAATCTAAAATATATCAGCAAATATTTCAAACAATGAACATAAATAAAGGAATAGGATTTGTTGAAAACTGTAACAACAAATTCTCTTTCTATACATTTTAAAAACTGTACAATACTAAGTTTCTTTTAGCACTGTCAGAACCTCAGAATTTTGAAGTTTCAATGCTAGAACACATTTTAAACTAAACTAGAATATTTCTTTCTCACCGCACAATTTCACCATTTCGAGAGTCTAAATGATTTAAATTTTCCCTACCACCGCTGTGATGAGATATTATGTTGCTCCTAGAACGACTTCGGTTCAACTGTGCCCTTCTTTCTAAAAGTTATATTAAAAAATCCATTTTTAATAACCCAACACATTATAACTTAAACACTGATGTATAAAATTACTGAACAAAAATGCAATAAAATATTCATAACATAAGCAAATTCATAAAAACCAACATTAAAAATGCTTTCATAATGAAAAATTTTTAGATGTTAACACAAATTTCAGTTAACTAATTATATTTTAATATTATTATGTATATTAGTTTTAGGATAGCAAGGGAAAATAATAATGAAAAAGATCTAAGCATATTTTTATTATTTATCTTCAGATATTCATTGACAAGCACTGAAGATGTACCTTCTCCCAGACTGTAAGGAATCTCTACATATAATAAAAGAATGAGTCTGTCTGTGTGTGTGTGTCTTTCGTTCGTGCTGCGCGTAAGCTAATAGACCCACAGCTATGAAATTTGGTACATAGGTGCATCTAGACAAAAGCGAGTGCACCTCGAAGCGATTTTTTCGAAATTCTAATTTTTTTTATTTTATGTTTTGTGACGAAATCGCGTCATTTTGAGACGTAATGGGCTATAGGAAAGCAAGATTTTACTCTACACACTCCATTTTCACATCGTCATGAAACGTAGGCACTTAGCAATTTTACGAACTTAAAATAAATTTCGTGTTTCAATAAATCGATTAAATACAAATTTATTTAACAAAGGGAGCTTAACACCTTTTCAACGGGATTTTTTCTAAAAAAGTTTTAAAAAATGTACAGTGTATTTTTCTTTTTGGACACCTTAAACTTTCATCCTTGCAACTGCTTTTGCAAAAAGAATTTTGGAAAAATGATAATATTTTGTATTTTTAAAAAAATTTTTAAATGAAGCCTCCGAGTACACTTCTCACATATCATATCTTTAAAAATATGATTTTGGCAACAATTTTCCGGTCTTATTGTTGTTGATAAGATTTTTGATGAAATCACATCATTTTGAATAGTTTCATTCTTTTAGAAATATGGGTTTGGCAACAATTTTTCATCGTATTTCTTATGTCACTGTTTTTAAGAGAGTGGTATATTTCATTGTCATTTTTATATTCTTATAATACATTTTGATTGTTTTTTTTTTTTTTTTTTTTTTTTTTGGATAAAGTTTTCAGCAGAGTAAAATTCTGCGCGGAATTTTACGTTTTTTGAGTTGCTTTCATTTATTTTTTGCTTATTTCACTGTTTGTAAGTGTTGAAAAGTTTCGCATGATTTTTTTTTTCTTCAACGGAAAGTTGGTTAATTTTTTTTATTAGGATATTAATTTTGTATTAAGGGATATAGCTTATTTCATTGTAATTTTTTTTCTTGAAAATATAAGACAAAATATCATTAATTATACTTTGCTTTTCATAATTTTTTGTTTTTTGTATTCTTTTATGTTATTTATTGCTCATTTCACTGTCTTTAAGATATTGAAATGTTTTGAGTGATTTTTGGGGGAAACAAAATCCTTAACCTCTTTTATACCATTTGAGTTCTTAAGATTTTGCAAAGGGAAGTTGGTTAATTTATTTATTAGGATAATTAATATTTGTCCTAAGGGATATTGCTTATTTCATTGTAATTTTATTATACGTAATAACTTTTTTTTTATGAAGTTGTTCTGTAGAGTAAAATTCTACGCAGTTTTTAAATTTAACGTTTGGTGTTCCCTTCAGCCATTTTTCCGGTACATTTAAAAGCCAGACGAAGGCTGGCAGCGAAGCTGCTAGTGATAAATATTTTTAATGCAGTACATAAGTTCAGAAAGTATCTGAATTCTGATGACTGTATTTATGCAAATTACATGTATGTTAAGTAATCAGAATTCACATACCGTACATATCTGAACATTCTGCATAAACTGAAATGAGACTTTGCTTTAAAATTCCAGCCAAAATTTAAAATCTGATGAATATAAATTTAAAACTCCCCCTACATAAAATATTAACTATATACATAAGCAAAAGTGTGAATAAATGACCACCTACTTAGATAGCTCAATCAGATGAGCTAAAGGTAAATGGCAGTTCGCATTTACTTTCCATTAAAAAAATAAGAGAATATTTTAGAATGAAAAGTACTTTCGGCACCAACAGTTTCTTTATAATTCTGCCAACTTTTACGCATTATTTAGTACTTTGATAATAGCACAGGAAATTTTACTCTGATTGGTAATAATTCTCAAACAATTACACAATTTCTCTCCTTATACAGCTTACACTCTTGCTTTTATGAGTAAAATATATTTCTGATATATGGTGAAAGATTCCTAGATTATTTTATTACTTTTAAACTGAAAATTATCCCTTTTGATGAGACAAACTATTGATGAAACTGAAGAAAATATTATTTATAAGAAAGACAACAAATATATTAATGATGAAATTGAAAATGATGACATTTACCAGGTCTTGCCTCAAGGAAAGATTTTGGAGAAATGCTAAAACTCTCCGAGTCAGATACCAATATTAAGCAATTTTGTTAAAATACATTAGGATTAAATAAAAATATTTTTCAATTATTTAACTAATAATAATTTTGTAATCAAATTATTTCAAAATAATTTTGAACTCATCTATAAGCTAATTCCCAAACATCAATAATAAAAAATATCCTAGATTATTGGCTCATACAACAAATTAAATAGTTTTTTTTAGCTTAAGAAAAAATGGTATACATTTAAATAAATAAAACTATGTTGACAAATTAGATATGTTCAAAACTTTTGTTATATAAAAAAAAACATTAATTTAATTGACATTATAATGGAAATTTATTGATTATCTTGATCAAAGATATAAATAGCTAATTTAGTTAACGATTTTAAACTCAAGAAATTTCAGTATAATAAAGAATGTGAACATACGAAAATTACAATTATATTGAAACTATCCACCATAATTTATTTTAGAAAACACCATAAAAATATAACTTCATAATTTTTGTTAAGAATGAGAACCTACTTTTAAAAGAAACTATTAAAATGATGATAATTGAAATTAAAATAACACAACTGTTACAATATATCAAAAAGGACTTTCACCAGAAAAAAAGTTTAAAAAAAAACAACAAAAATCTGAAAAGTTTCAGATTTTAAATTATGTCCAAAGGGGCGTTTTTTTAACATTATTTATTAAATATCATGTTCTTTGCACTCAAACCATAAAAGTCAGTATCTTTAGAATTTCCAATACACAGTTCCGCGAGTTGGAAATAAAAAAGTCCCCCCCCCCTCCACCCCGTAGAGTGTTGCTCGCTTTTAAATTGTTTGAGTTTGTTACTCAAAAAGTTATTAAAATTTTACAAAATATGAAATCGATAATAAAACAAATTCCAAATTTCCAATTTGGTCTTCCACATGCCCATATTCTTAGGAGGATTACATTGTTCAAAATTCGATGGATTTACTTACCTTTGTTTTATCACAATGCGAGAAATATACATACACTTATGCAAATTTTTCATTATTTAATTTCTCCAAACATAATGCAGAATTCTAACATTTGGTGCCAACAGTTTGAAAAGTGATTTGCCGTTTATAGTGATTCAACGCAAAATCTCAAAACGAAAACAATAGTCTTTCAGACACAAAGCCCCTTTGGAATAAAAAAAAAAAAAAAAAGCTAAGCTAACAATTTTTAGCAATGAAAATAATTAAGTACGTGTTTGACTCAAATGTATTTGAATACTCCTATACCACATTTAAATTGTATTATTTAACATTAAACAGCTTATTCAATAAATGAATAATTTTTAAAATATTAACAAAGAGACAAATTCAAAATATTCAAAAAATAAAAAATTTGAAATTATAAAGAGAGAAATGTAAAAAAGTAGTAACATAACATTCTTTATAGATACAGCACTGTTTTGGAGACTGCACCATTAGAGCCAGCAGTCATGCAATTAAACAGATGCGATAACTTAAGACGGCCACAAATAAAAGATTTTGTATTTTGGTAATTTTATACCACATTTTGAGTGCATAATAAACATCACAGAAATAAGAATGTCTTAGCAAGGCCCAATAACTAATTATTATGAATAACATTCATTTCAGCCATTAGAAAAGTTCCAATTCTGAAATTAAGATACAACAACACGCCAAACAAACACCAATTCAGAAGTCAAACAACAAAAATCAGCGCTATATCTAAAAAATCCCCACAGGACCAGCCTCGATGGCCTCACCGAACCATCATCCCCAGCTGCAAAACCGCATAGATATAGCGCTGTTTTTTGTTGTTTGATTTCTGAATTGGTTCCAATTCTGAGTTTTATGATATCATAATTTTCCAAAATTCTGAATTTGATTAGATGTTTCTTTAAACAATGTTTGACATTTTAACCATACTTTTATGGAATTATGTTCTCGGTTCCTAATTCTCAAAAATTTTTAATTGCTATTCTGCATTTTAACATGCAATTTGAAGAAAAAGATTAGTAAATTTTATCTTTATTGTGGCACAGGAAGTGCTCAAAATTTGTTAAAACTCTGTCTTCATAGATATCTGGTGTGTAATTCTAGATTTGGACCAGCATTTGGCATAAAATCAATATTTTAGTTTTTCAGCAATATACTGCAGTATACACTTCTGTGCAAAATTTAATCAAAGCGCATAACAACACTGTGTAACACAACTCTGCATTAAAATTTAGTTACATAACAATTTATATTTAGGTGTAGTCTAGATTAGTCATACTGATGCTACTAGGTCTTACCGTCTTCAAAACTTGACTGTTCACTTCTGCACAAATTTATTTCAAATATTTCTAAATGATATAAAACTACGTTTATTACAACATAACCAACGTATAAAACAAAAGAAACCTTTCTTATGGTTTCTTATTCTTTAACTTATGGTGTTAAAAACTGGGCATGCAACACTAATATGGCCAGACTTTTTAACATGCACTTGTCCAATCAACATACACAGTTGGAAAATTAACTATGTAATACTAAAGCATTTTTAAACATGCTATTCAATCAAGCATAAAATAGCTTATGTGACATGCAGAACAAATAGCAAATAGCAGGCATAATATATGTAATAACCTGCCTCTGGATAACTAAACTGTGATACCAAATGCTCCAGTTCTAGAAAGCAAAAAAGTGGGGGAAAAAAAGGCAACTACATATTAATGTTCTAAAAATTCTACATTTTATTAAATGTGAACAATAAGTTGAAAATAAAAAATTCATACAAAAATGAGCAATTTATATTTATTTCCTTTACAAAGGGTTGTGCATAACTAGTATTATGACTTAAACACTAAACAGCTTTCTTCTTGTGTTGTTATTCTTGCTCCCCCTCTTTTTGGAACTGCAAAATTAATACTTCAAGATTTTATGATAGAAAGCTTCATCAATAAGCAAAGGATGAAAATTATTCAACTTTACTTTGAAAGTGCCCAGCACTCCAATAATTTGACAACTAGTATTTTCAGCAATAAATAAGAAGAAAATTTTTGATACTTATATAATTTCCCAATTTTCAAATTTTAAATAGTCATCATGATTACCAAATTTAATGGATGTAGATTATTTTTCTGTAGGATTATTATGAAAAAGTGGAGGGGTGTATGCAAATAAGCCATAAAAGTTTAAACACCTGTCAGCAATTAAAGTGTGAAAACTGAAATCCAAGCAAGTTTTGGAGAAGTCTATGGTTACAGCATATCAAACTGAGGCTCACAACGGCTGCCACTTGCCAAATATTATTTTTAAAACACAATATAAACATAGTTCCATAAATTTTACTCAACATTAAAAACAGCAAAAAATAATTAATATTGAAAGAAAAAATATTATTCATTACTTCATAACATTCATTATGCACTACCCTACGTAACATTTTGCTGCACTGAAATCTGGGGCTAGAGGTTTCAAATATGACAAACATAAATTTTCAATTTTCCATGTACACTACAAATGGAAATTTCTCCAAGATATTCTGACTTGTTTTGAAATGACTGCAGTCTCAGTTTTGATAAATTACTTATATGTTGCATATATAAAATATTTATATGTTGTTATTCAGCAATGGAAGATAAGGCACATGATTGTTATATCTGGAGATCTAAGAATCTTCATTATGTGTTCCAAAATGAACAAGAGACACCAGAAGTCAATAATTGACTAGAAGTGCACAAAAAATTATTTTCCCCCTTCCAGTGAGAACATACATATAGTGACAAAGCACTGTTTTGAGGTTAAGATTCCACTGTCTATACTTTAACAATACATTTATACCCATATTTTGCTTGTACTAAATACAACTGACAAGCTGTCTTAACCTCAAAAACCTTTAAAGAATGCACAATTAATGCTTCAAATAATGGTTTGCTTTAAAAAATGCATATACCACAGAAAAGAAGAAATTTTAATTCTACCAAGGCAGACATATACGGATTCATGGTTGTTCAGCTGATAACATTATCAAAGACTTGAGGACTATCTGCCTAAGGGAATGGATGTCTTTGAAGAGAACTTTCTAAGGAAAGCTGCCTCATATACATATTACACATGCAAAAAACCACGAAAACACCCATGTAGCCAGCCCATTTGTGGGATTCGAGCCTCGGACCAAACTACGAGTGTTTAGCGACTTTACCACTCAGCCAATGGTGGCCACATCGACTTTACCACTCAGCGAATTCATGTTTCGATACTTCTAGCCCAGAAGCCATGCAGTAAGGTAAATGATTAGCATCCTTTCACTATCATACACTTTTTTGAGTTGCTATATCTAAAAACTAGAAACACTATTAAAATGTAGAATTTAAATCTTATGCATCTTCAGTAAAATTAGGAACTTTTATAACATTATTTTCAATCTCTTTCATAAAAAATTTCAATCATTTGCTAAACTATAAAATCTGCTACAAATGAAGTAAGGATGTAAGCAATAATTAGAATACAACACTTACCAGCAGCACCCCGAGCAGGATTTTTACGTCGTGGTTTGTGAGAAAATGCCGAGCCTGTTGTAAGAGCTTCTAATAAACTATCCATAACGCCTTCTTGATCTGTCCCTAGATTTAAATGGTATACCATTTTATATTTATTCATTTCTCTTCAAATTATATTAGTATAGACTGCATAAGATTAACAGAAAGCTTAAATTAACTTCAAAAATTTAAAAACAAACCTGAACTTATATCAACCAACTGCTTCTTTTTAGCCATTCTTTCTTGCTTTTCTTTTTCTGCCTTTTCTTTGGCCTCTCTCGCTCTCCTCATTTTTTCCTCTGTTTCTCTTATGCGTAGATTGTCTTTGTATGCTTCCTACAATTTAAACGCAGTTTAGAGAGTCATAAAAATTCAACTATTAAGTAGACATAAATGGAAATATACTTCCCAACACTATATCACACACACACACAAAAGTAACTAAAGGCTGCACATGATTTCCTAAATAGACCTTATTCAAAATTACTTTAATAATTAATATTTTAGTTAGCAATAGTTATAATTTCTCCCCCTCACAAAATATCATGTACATTAAATTGTTCCCTAATTAAGGGGTAATAAAACTTAAATGGCCACATGGATCTGCATGTGGCCATTTAATGTGTTTGAACATTGGAAACAACTTGCAAGTTTATACACAACTTTTCAAATTCTACTATAAATGGTATCTTTAGCATAGCAGCTTGCAATGTTCTATAGCAAATTAATGAAAAGGAAAATGAATTTTAAACCTTCAAAGCATAGAAAAATAACATGACTAACTCTAGCCCCATATTTAGTGCTAAACCACTTCTACAACATATTCTGCATTTCATCTTAATCAATAGGCCACAGTTTTTGGTATGATGATTAGTTGCACAGGTTGCCATATCATTGTGTCCAAGTTTGAATCTCAAAAGAAGGCACATATATATGTAGTTGTCTATCCCTTAATCCTTAATGAAGTAATATCTGTTTAACTCAGCAGCATTTTTCTATAACAGGGTTCGTAGCCACATTTTAGTTAAAACAATAAGCACTTATAAGCACTTTCAAGCACATTTTAAGAAAAAAATAAGCACCTGTCTAATTATATTATACACTACTGCATAACCTTAAAAGAAAAATTAAACTTGTAATTTAAAATATGAGAAATGCAGTATTTATTAAGAGAGAATGAGCATTACCTCAACCATGGAAAACAATTACTTTTTTTTTTAAACTTTTAAATAACAGTTCAATTTACAGAAATAGTTTACAATGAAAGGAGGAAAAAAACTATGCAGAATTAAACTATATTACAAGATTTAATGATGAAATTTCTGTTCAAAATAGAGGAAATAAATAAAAATAAGCCATATTTATTGTACTTGCTTGGCACTTAATAATAAGTACAATTTATTTTTTCACTCATATTAATATTTAAATAATTTAACTTAAATCAAAATTCTGAACATTTTCTAAATTTTCATTGTATAACAATTTTCTCTTAACAGATATTGCAAGCAAAGTAATTTAAGTAAAAAAGAGGAACATTTCTGAAATCAGAAGATGGGAAATTGCTTCATGCAGTCATTCTTTAACAGTAAAAGTTTAACTAACCCGCATACTCGGAAATTGCCGAATATTCTGGATAGTCGAGCGTAACTGGAAAAAGAGGAGGAGGGAAGGAAGATTGTAGCCATTCTTTAGATTTCTCGGCTAAATAAATGCTTTAGGCATTTTGGCTTTAGGCATCATATAAAAATAGCCCAAAGGAACTGAAACATATTCGGCTTAGCAAGCACAGTAAAACTCTTTTAAGTGTTCATAAACAAATCTCAGACTGAACATCAAAATTAATTATCTCTGCAAAATATCGCAAACGTTATTGTGCAATACGTGCACCGCAATTCTTCCGTATGTGATATTGCACAATCAGAATCAACAGCTGCGAGTATTCGAAGAATAAAGACCTAAAAAAAAAAAGGAAAAGAAAGAAACTTACCAATCTGGGGTATTTTTCATTCTAATTTTGAACAGACTGCATTAAGTTTCCGGAACAGAATCATTCTTCGTTTGGGTTGGTAGACTGCAGAACTTTTACTCCTATTCAACCCAGACTAGTTAAGTGACAAAAAAAAAAAAAAAATGTCCGTTGCTTGTTTTGCAGCGAACTGTAAAGGTTTCAATATTCAAGATTTTCCGGAGAAAGGGGAGAACCTCCCAACCTCCGTAATGTATAATGTTTTGGCCAAAAAAAAAAAATGAAATTATTTTGACTATTCAATTACTTTCCCTTTATTTAAGCCATTCCGAATATTATTTCTTAGAAAGCTAAACTGTGTGAAAATACCCATTTTTGGAAGTTTATCTTTATTTCAGCAGTTACTGCAACTATATTATTATAAATACTCATAATATAGCTCATAATATAAGCATAACAATCATAATAAACGTGAATATGAACTGACCACGCGGAACGAGAATGCAAATTATTCAAATCTTGATAGAAATTCAATCGTGTGTAGTACTTGGATGGGAGGAAAAGAAAATGGAATGTACCCGAATTTTCTACCGCTTTCGCAATTGTCCGACCAATAGAACGATGTACACCTGTCTGAACTCTTGCGCGCACCAAAGGTTATGTTAATGCAGAGAAAGTGGGAAAAGCTATTTCCGGGAGTATGATTCACCATCTGATGTTCCATATAAGGAAGAAAAGTTGTTTATTTAGTTTCGGCTTTGGTATGGGGAAAAAGGTGCATTCATTAAAAAAAAAAAAAAAAAAAAAAAAAAAGCTCTAAAAACAAAACAAAATAAGGGCTCTAATGAAAAAATAAACACCTATACGGGCCTTTATATTTTATCTTCAAATATAAGGATTTATAAACACTTATAAGGACCACTACAAACCCTGTATAATGAGATGGTTAAATGACCAATAGTGGTCACTTATGACTAACATTTAACAAGCAAGTGTCCTTCTGTAGTAAGAGGTAAATAGCTATCGACTTTTACTTTTCGTCAACATCAAAAATTAAATTAGTTCAAAGTTTTTCAAAAAGCAGTTAGCTTCCTCAGCAGCAAGACTTTTTGTTCTGGCTGATGAAGGAGTTATATCTGAATACCATTTATCAACTAGATTTGTGTAATTGCTGCTGTTTATCTCACCTGTCTAATAGAAACATCAGAACAAGTCCATGAATTTTTTTCATGGAAAAAGGACTGTGTCTATCATTGGCAATGGTCAGCTTATATGAGTCAGTATGACTCTGCTTAGCTGCATCCCAAATCTAAAGAATCTCCCGAATGACGGGTCCAAGGTTCAAAGAAGAGTCTTTCACTACTACGAAACCACTCGAATTTTAGGCTCGCTATGTATTTTAAGTGCCCATACCACAAAGTCATAATATACTAACAAACACATAAGCTTTCTTTGGTATACAAACATGGTCGATCGACACAGCAGCAAGCATCACTAACCACTATACTGATCAGGACAGCTCATAATTACTTATTTTGCTATTTTTCACATATTTCCATTTCTTAGGATAATATTTAGATCATTAGAGAATGTAAGAAAGCAAAATAATCAAAATAACATGTTTATATATAACGGTGACAGTAAACTTCATGACCAGATAAAAGCTGTTATGCACTGCAGATTGTTAAAGTACAAAATTCAATGAATCAACTTGTAATGTAAATCAACCTGTATGTCCTTAAACATTTCTTTCTTATAAAATGCATCTCTTTATTATTTATGACCAACGAGCTGTAAAGAGTGTCTAACAAATATTTTTCGCCAATGAGTGGGCAACTTTTTGTGGGGATAAGTATCATCAGAAAGAATAATCAAAATGAACCAAACATATTCAATATAACACATAATATTTATACATATTATAGTTTTAATACTTAATAAGTAATATTCATTACTTAATGTATATGAAGTGAAACTTTTTAATCCAATATGTTTATTTAATTGATTGAAATATTAAATAACACATCAGAGGATTCTGATATGGAATATTATTATATGAAACTTGAGAAAATATTATTGAAGAAAAATATACCTCATTACTCACCTGAAAGTTGTCTTTGAAAGTTTTAATATCACTAAAAAATTCATCTGATGTATATTTCTTAGAATCAAAAGCAAAATAAATGGCTAAGTCTTCATATAATTTTTCCATTTGTTTGAACATGTTCTCTAAAATTTCATACTGAGTAGAAGCTTCTGTTAAAAAGCTCTAAAGCAATGTCAAGGAAAAAACTGAGGTCTTTTTAAATACTTCCCAAAATTATGTTGTTAAAACACATTTTTAAATACTACATGCACTAAATTTCTAAATATATTCTTGAAGATAGATACATAGCCGGTGGCATCTGAGACAACTAAAGTCTGAGCACCGGCACCGTGTCGACCGCCTAAAGCATGGGCGCCAATATGATTCGCTTGTTGACTACCAATGAATAGGTGAAGAAAATATTTAAAATTTTATACATTATGGTAAAGCACTAAATTTGGTTTGCATATTCGTTATATGTAATTTAACGATAATGAAAAATAGAAGCAAAATAAAAAAAATTTAATTTATAATTATAAAAAATACACCTGTTTTATTTGATGACTGATTATTACATATAGATATAATATAAACAGAAAGAAAAATATTAATATTTAAGGGATGGATGGTATTTTTCAAAACATTTTCCAAGATGTAAAGGTACTAGGCATAGAGAACACATAAAGCTACTCTCGCTTCTTTTTTTGCTAGCAGAGCACACTTTGTATGGACGTCGTACATATCGGTTTTTGTTCCCAGATTCAATAATTCGAGTAACGGTATGCCTCTTCATATCACCCGATAGTCTCTGAGGGTGATCATATTTTGATGTGCGAGGTGTAGGAACTAATACAGAAGTTTGTTCCACACAAACTTTTGATACATCTTGAGTACTTGTATATTCCTTGATCCATAAAAGTGCAACAGCATGTAAAAATTTTTGATATTTTATAGTGTTGCCATTGAACTCAACATATGCATTGAACAATGTGCAATTTAGTATCGGCTGAATCTTCTTGAGCTTATTAGAACCAGCTGTTGTACGATTATTTGAAAAATGCCATGTATCACAAATCTGGCGAAATTTGTTATGCGACATTACCGTGGTGAACGATGGTGTTTTGGTATAAAACTCTGAGGACCAGTAATCATTCTTTCGATATTTCTTTACTTGGCTCATCAATATAAGCAAACCAACAAATTTCTTCATGTCGGCTAGAGAAACATCATTCCACTTACGCATTTTTTTACCCTTACACATCTTGTCCTTATTTTGGTGATAATAGATGTTTGATTCATTTACCATCAATTGAAATAAATTATTGCCAATAAACATTTTGACGATTACTTTTATGTTTTGCTTATTAGCAGGGAGAATCTTTGGACCAGATTGCACAAATAAAATCTGGTACATTGGGAACTTTATCAACATCTGACCATGATTCAATGTAACTATGTGATTCTGTGAACATTTCACTATCACTTAGATAATCAGAACCACTGGAATACTGTAATGGAACAGCTCTTGATCTTCTTGGCATCACATCACTATCACTGTCCTCGACCCCTATATCAGAATCTTCTGATTGTATTGAATAATCTGATAGAGGATCAGCAATATAGTCAGTAACTTCATTCATATTATAGGGGTAAAAATGCACAGAATAATAAGAAGAAGAAGGCTTATTATGCTGTTCAATTAAAAGCATAAGGCTATGAGGGATGTACTGGCTACGGAATACGACACTCAAGAGTGACTCTTGTTTGTACTTGTTCCTGAACCATAGTATAAATTTTGTTTCGACGTAATAAAAAGTGCAGATCGGTGAGTCATGACAAGAGCAAACTAACCGCCAAATAGACGAATGTTGCATTATCGCAGGGCTGGCGCTGAAACGAAGACCTCGGAACATGCGTTTTCGCGGGGCCGGCGCTCAAGCGATAGACTTCAAAACCCATGTTTTCGCGGGGCCGGCGTACAATGTGTTAAAACAAGAATAATTCATTTAACTTTATATGTTCTTTATAGAGTTACTCAAAAATGAAAGGAAAAAGATAAGTTTGATATATAACGTTGTTAGTATATAGCTCTTAAGATTTTATACATGTTAATTTAAAAAATTTTCATACCACATGAAAAACAGAAAATGGGCGATTCACATTTTATTTTACTTATTTGACTGAATAACACTGAACAAATTTACATGATGATTTTTCACATATTTTCCAGTTCAATTTAGCCTATACAGCAGAAGTGCAGATGCCTAATGATACATTATCCACGATAGCTTTAACTGCTTTCAGCAGATATATATATTATGTGGCTTCAATACATGAATGCATTCTTTGGAAATGCAAGCAAAGTAGACATTGCGTTTAGTGAATTGCGTTATTTGCGTTTAGTGAATTGACAATACCATTAATTTTAGAGGTTGCTTGAAGTTTTTAAAAGAAAAAGAGTAACAAAAATTATTTTGACCAACTTTCTCACCTCAAAGGACTTATGTATTTTAGTACGTCAAAGCACTTACAGGCTATTTGTGAAAGACTTTCTATGAGGAAACGGCTAGTATTTGCATTACATACATAAAGTTGAGCAGAATGAAATGGAACCAGAAGACTTTATTGAAAAACTAAAGACTATCAATTCACTAAAACCTACTTTTACAAATTTAAGAAATTAACATATCTTTATCAAAAGAAACATATCTTTATCCAAAAAAAACTGAGATATAGAAATAAAATTCCTAATTTGATTACAGATGATTCATCCTCCTTTCCAGCAAATCTCTGTATTTCATATTTAATACAAACACACTGGCTTATAGCAAAAATGAATGAAGAAACCAAAGCCTGAAAGTCAAGTACTCTAATTTTGACATGGAATAATATATTACAGAAAAAGTTCAAGGAATAGGTTATTGATAGCGGTCTAAACTAAGAACTGGTAACAAAAGGTGTGCTCAAAGTTGTACCTAGTATTTAGTTCTCATTCAATCAACAAATAAAATCTTTATATATATATAATCTCAAAACTCCTAAAATCAAGATATTTTGTAAGAATTGTTTAAATCAAGATACTATTCTAAATGTTTTCAAAGATTATTTCATGATAATCAAATTATCTGGACAGTGACATAACAGCTGAAATTCAAAAGCTTATTATCCCAATGCTTCTAAATAAAATAATTATTCAAACGCACCTATGCTTTATAAGAAAAAAAGAAAGAAGGAAAAATGCAGAAGTTTTTAAAATTATTGCGAGAATTTAAACTAATAGCTATTTTGATGCAAGTACTGTTAATAACATGTACGTAACATGAAAAATTTTCCCTTAAATTCACGCATATTCTTGTTGTTTGTGACTGCTTGCAGTTCAATCATTGCTGCTGATTTTGTAACAAATATCATTTCTGATAATCATTGCTGCTGATTCATATCCTGACTGACTCATATCCACATGTCTCCTAAAGAAAAGGGCAGTAGCATGTGTCCATGTAAAACTCTAATTTCCTTAATTGGCAGATTTTCATCAAGATAAGTCCTTATATCAGTATCAGTGGGAGATGTTTCACCTTGCTTGAATAATACTGCTGAAAATAAAGTGCATACTGTAATGTTTTGGAATAAGCTGTAGAATGATAATTAACATAAGCAAACACTGAAATAAACCATCAGTTTCATGCCACTACACACATTTTGGGAAGAACTTCTTTCTACTTACTCTACACTAAATGTACTATGATTCATTACAAATTATATAAAAAAATTTTTAAACTACAAAATTATTTATATTTTAAACATAATTCAAATGCTTTGAGAAATAACTCATCTATCAATAAAAAAATGAAAACTGAAATTTTAATAAAGTAAAAATTGCACCAACAACCTGTGTTTTTAATATCTCTCAGATTATACATTTTAATTTAAAATTCATGACCTACAAAAAATAAAGAACCAGATAATAATAATAATAATAAAAGTAAAGACAATTAAAAAAATAAAAACCAAGGTATGAAAGAATAAAATAGAAAGCATTTAAAAACTTAAAAAAGAAAAATCTCATTTACAAACACATCTAAAAGGATACACTCATCACATCAGCGAACCTATCTTCCTCATTATGTGGACGGAAATTTTTTAGATCCATTTCTAACTGTTTTATAGATTTCTTCATCTGATTTAAATTTTTTTGAATCTGATCAGCAGATACTGGGAAAGGGAGAAAAAAAAAGTGAAATCAAATGATACAAAAAAAAAAAAAAAAAAAAAGGCTGCTGAAACCTTATATATAATGAATATTTAAATATTATTTGCTTAGCATAGGATGCAGGAATCAGCCCTTTAATCCATTTTTAAAAATAATGCAGGGTTATCAAACTAACTATCATTGAAACTAGCTATGCTACTTGTGACAAAATGGTAGCTGAAAGAGCTGATGATGAAACTGCTATTCAAACGTCTATGTAACACAAAGTCCAATGACACATTTTAAGAAACGAAATTGCTTCTGCGAGCATGTTAAAAAAAGTAAATTAACACTGATAGCCTTATCAGAAGCACAATCAATATCTTACCAAAAACTATGCATATAAAATTACTGTATGTATAATATGCACTATTTTTCTATTTAAAACATAATTCCATAATGAATTTAATAAAAATTAGCTTCTTTCTGATTATCTGCCCTTTCTCAAAAAAGCATTCATATGGCAATGCCCTATGCATTTATACGGAAACCTGGGTAAGTGGATTTTCCCCTTCAAATTCAATGCTCATTTTCTGGTAAGTGTTTAACTTTGAGTTCCATTTTCCTTTCTTGAAAGGAATTTTAGTTGGACAGTGGAATTTTCTGGCTGATGAAAAAGAAAGCAATGGAATTCTTCAGAAATATGGTGTTTTTCTCAACAGTAGACAATACAAAATTTCACATTCCATGAATTTACAGTAACTAAACAATCGAATTTTATATATCAAAATTTGTATGAATTTGTGCAGTTCTCTGCTTTTTTCTGAAGTGGGGGGGGGAAACCCTGCAATGTACACAAGAACAACAGAATACAACAACAACAAAACAAAAAAAGGGGGAGAAAGAATTTCTCGAAAAAGATAATTGTTTTATCATAGAATATTTCTAGTTTTTAAAATTTTACTGATGCATTGCTTTTTTACGGAACCCTTAGTGTTCACTCTTTGCTCTTTTATGGAACTCTTACATCCCTTCTTGAAAGGCAAGTGCCATTTGAATTTAGTACTTGAAAAATCCGTCACTAACAAGCTAGTGCTTTTTTGAAAGTGTGGATAAGAAATGCCAAAAATTATTATTAAACTTTTAATTAAACAATCTCATAATGCATGTGAAAGTAAAAATATCACAATTAAAATGAATCTCTTTCTCATATGTCACTTTTACTTACATGCTTTTTTTTTTTTAGCTGGCCCTTGATTTATATTATTCACTGCATATGTAATACTAGTTTATCATTACATTTATTAATTCTAGAAATGTAAAACATAATAGATAAATAACTACATGAGAATTCAATAAATTTCTAATTTAAAAAATTATAATTAAGTTTACAATACCTCGTGCAGCTCGATCTACATGCATCAGTTCTTCAGCAAAATTCAATGCATCTGAATATTTCTTTTCTATTATTTCAACTAAATAATGCAACAGAGTAGTTTTATGATCAACAGCTTTTGTTGTGTTAAGCTGCAAAATAAATACATGTTATTCATTAAAATAAGCTAGACAGCATAAATATGCATATAATATTTTTTATATTTTAGATCTACTCCCTCCTGGTTTATCTTTATCACTTTAAACTCAAAAATAACCAAATTAACATAGAATGTGAGCAAATGAATGCTAAGCAATTCTTTATTATAAAGTAGGTTACCGCCGAAAACATCATGGACGACAACCTTGCAGAGACAACAACGCAAGGTGAAAACGTCATGGCCCAAAACATTGTGGGAGAAAATAAAGCAAAGAAAAAACACTGCAGTTCTAAAACATCATGGTTCAAAATATCGTGGTCGAAAATAAAGTGGTTAAGAACATTCGCAGTTTTAAAAACATGATCATCGAAATTATTGTGGCAAAAAATAAAGTACTTACAAATCATCGCATGATGATAACATTGCACACATGATATTTCAAATCCCATACTGACATATTATGTAACTGACTTTCATCATAACTAACAAATTGACATCCAAAAGACTGATTGCATGCTATACATGAAAATGTTAAGGACACTTTAAGATTAAATGGAAACAAAACAAAGTATAATTATCACTAAAACAATATCAGATTAACAAATGTGAAAGAAAATAATTTGATAATTAAGTAAGCAATTTTCATAGAAGTAACTTTATACAATTATGCATCTTCCTTTTCCTAAGCATTTTTAGATTGATGAAAATTATCAATAAAACTTTATTAAAAAAAGGTTAATTTATTATTGACCTTTGTTAATTAGCTATGTAAATTTAAATTCTATTAAGTTCTATAATATGCATTAATTTTCCACTCATTTTCAATTTTTAAATGCTTAAGTTTCCTGCTTATTTTTCAGCAGAAATTTATTAGTTCATTAAAAATATGAAATATGGAAATGAATGAATCCCTCTTCCCTTTCTGTGCCCCCCAAATCATTATACAAACAAGCATTCACAACTTTTAAAAACCTGAAAATGCATTCGTGTGATGTTATCGTCATGGGATGATTGTAGGTACTTAATTCTTTACCAAGATATTTTCAACAACAAAGTTTTCAAACTGCGAAGTTTTTGAACCACTTTATTTTTTACCCTGATATTTTGTACCACGATGTTTTATCTTTGCTTTATTTTCTCCCACGATGTTTTTGCCTTGTGTTGTTTTCTCAGAGATGTTTTTGACATACACCATAAAGTAGCATTACCACACAACCATTTTGATTTAGTATATAATTTTATTACATCAAAATAATCTCATAGCAATTTCCAGCTGATTGGACATCAATTTAGACCCATTAACTATTTCAGCTTAAATTACACTATCATAACTACTAGTTTTCAGAAAAATGGACTATAACAAAATCAAAATCAGAAAATCACAAGAAATGAAAGTTTTTGCAAGTTATAATTTTATTCTAACATATAATAAAGCTGAATAAAATTTTAAATAAAATAGGTTTCAAACAATTCATGAATTATAAATGTATGCAAATTATAAAGGACAAAATAGCAGAACCCATTATACCACAGAAAATATTCTCTAGAGTATTTTTTAGCATGATTTTAAGAAAACTCAAGAATTTTTAAAGTCATTATAAAAAAAGATATTGATATGAAGAAAGATACTACAGTACAAAGTCTGTAATCCGGACCTCAAAGCTACAAACTTTATGCGCATGCACATATGCGTTTATGCATAGGCATGATACCTTTACGCATGCGCATATGCATTTGCATGCACATGATGCATTTATGCATGCGCATAATGTGTTTACGCATGCAGGTTTAATGTATAACAGATGTATAAGCTAGGCTAAATTTATCTTAATTATTTATTTCAGATAATGCTGCAGATTGCATTGTTCCTTAATCTTCTAATTGGATCTGGCTTATTATTTGTTGCAGACTGTTAGAACAGTTTTATAAAAATTAAGCTTGAACTTTCGATTCTGTCAAAAAGAGTTTCCAATTCTGGAGCTGCCAAATCTACAAAGCGAAAGCATGTTTCGATGTCCATTAGACAAAAAGTGGAAGTACTACAAAAAATGGATAAAGGCATATCCGTTTCAAAATTATGCGAGAAGTATGGCATTGGAAAGTCCACTATATATGACACAAGAAAAAGAAACTTTTGAATTTTTCGTGGAAGCATCTTAAACAACTTACATTGAAAGAAATATTTAATAAAGTAAACAAATAAATATTAAGCTTTTTTGTAAATTTTGATACCCTTTAGATCATAATTGTTCTTTATTTCATAAATTAAGATTTCCTATTTTAATTGTATAATTTCTGCATGCCATCTTACCAGGTTTAAATTAATGATCTATAATCCGGAAAAATCTATAATCCGGAAAAACCCCTAATCCGGAATCGTCGAAGTCCCGACCAGTCCGGATTACGGACTTTGTACTTTAGTTGCCAATACTGTCACAAATCATTAATAATACTGCTGCTAATAACTGCAATTACAAACCAAATTGATAATAATTGCAAGTCTTTTATATGTTAATATAACTGTGCAAAACAATGAATAATTAAACTTTCTCTTAAAATTAGTTCTACTAAAATCACTCATTAAATTAATTGTATATTGATAAAAGAGCCACTAAAACTCAAAAGTTTCTTTGGTTTGTGAAAAGGAATTTTCTCTAGGTCTTCTACAACTATCAAAATTTACATACTTCATACATTCAGTGCCTTTCTAATCCTGTTTTCCTTGAAGTAATTAAAAGCCTGTATTGTAATAATTAAACCTATTAATTATTACAATTTTTATTTTGTTCAAAATATACTATAATAACACTAAAATAATTGCTTCCTTTATTTATTTATTATTATGCTAATTTATTTAAAAGAATGTATTTTTAGCCAAATATTGATATTTTTGCTACTCATGTCCCTTTTCTCAGTTTATTGAAATGCATACCGCTTCTTTGTAAAACTGACATCATAATATTTGTTAAATTTTAAATTGGCACATCAATATCCCATACATTACTACCATTAACAATAAATTTGAAAAGTGCACAAAATGTACATATTATTCAGTTAAAAATAAGGTTATTACAAAAAATAGTACAAACAATTACATGGTGTTTTATACTTAATATTATACCTACTTTTGTTAAAAAGTTTATTTCAAAACCAACAGCTTGCTCATTTCTTGAACCAGCATTCATGTAATTTCCTATAAGAAGAATTACCTCCAGAATTAAGCAAAATTTCTTGCTTGTTTTAACTTCTTCACATGCAGCAGTAGCAGCTACAATATCCTTGAGAAACAAATTTATATCTTTAGCACTTTCTATGTCAATGAAGACAACTCTCCATAGTTTTTAAATATTAAATTCAAATGCAGTATATTATAAAATGCAGTGCCCTGTAAACTAAGTGACTTACTGGTTTGATATCTTGGACCATTTCTTGAAACCTCATTTTAAAGCTTATAGACTTTAATCTTGGCACCAACCTCTTTATGCTTCCCATCTTTAAATAAAAAAAAAAAATAATGTAAAGTAGCCATTCTTAAATAAAAGCATCTTTTGCACAGATATTAAATAAACAAAACAATAAAATGACAATACAAATATATACCATAAAACTGGGGAGAAAATAATGTGATTTTTTTAGAGAATACAGAACATATGAACAGTGTTATTATTCATAAAAAGTTATCATACATTCGAAACAGTTTCAATAATTCATTTAAAAGAAAAATTAGCATTTTTATGTTTGAAAGTTATTCAAGAGAAAGATCTATATGAAGCAGAATTTTATATTGCAGGATGAGGGAAGCTGAAATTCTAAGGTGAAAATAACAAAGCAAAAATTATTTTTATTTTATGTGAATCATATTGAACCTATTGATATTGCAATGACAATTTAACATCCTCCATTGAAAAAAACTTTACAACACTTAAGCACTTGATATTGGTGAATGAGAAATATAACATGCTTTAGGTGATTATAAGTAATTTATGAATAGTTTATTTTAAACACACGAATTATGATGAATTCCTTCAATAGTATGGAACTTCAAATAATTCCAGAACCAAAAATCTACTATTCTATGAAAAGATAATAAAAAGTGTTGCTAAGCAATTGTATAGCAAATATGTCATCACTTGCAAAATCATAGCTTTAGATTATAATATGCTAGTAAAAACTAACAGAATACAAAATAACTATATCACCCATTAATCTAGCATACATCAAATGCTCATAATTCCCTTTCGATCTATTGCTCTATCTACAGCTTTTCTTTTATTAAAAACTTTGGTAAAACTTGTGCTACTAGGAGGGGGATTTTTTCCCCCATTTAATGTGGCACTACATGTGAAAATTTTATTTTTAGTTCAATAAAATATCAATTTTCCTTGTAAATAATTTTCAAAATAAATTCAATCCCAGAGATTTAGCATACAGCAAACACCTATGACACTTTCTACTCACTAAAACTACTATTCACAAAATTAATGATGAATATTTGTATTTTTACAGCTAAAATTCTAAGGTGAATTCATTAAAAATTCTTTTCTTTCATTAAAACTTAAATAAAGCTTTTAATTTACCGCCAATTTACATGAAACTGTTTTGTTACAGAATCTTAACTGCATTCATGCCATCACAACAAAAAAATGTAAACACCATAAATTACTTCTGCAGTACTTTCAAAATGTATTAGAATGTTTCCAAGATTTATACTGAATAAAAATGTGTCAGCAAATGAATTGGAGTTGCTTTAAATTTTGAGGCATTGATTAAAAACCCTTTTTTAATAAAATTAAAATTTCTCACCTGAGGAATCCTTCTACAAAATGACGACACTTTCAATAAATTATTCATTATAATATCCAAGATAATTATCAATTATAATTTTAAGTAAACAATTATAGAACTTTATACAGTTTTATAAACATATATTACTGTTTAACAAATTTTAATTTCAATTCAAAAACATCCTTTTCTTTTTTAATCTTTTTCACAACTGCACTCAAAATACCAGATACAGCAAAACACTAATATGAGTTTTCAAAAGAGCTGACAAAATCGTGGGATTAAACTCTCTCTATATATACACATATGTATGTGAATGAGTAAATACTTAAAGTTGGATAATAAAAATAAAATAAATTCCATCTATGAAAGCCTCACTGCTTCTCCAATAAAAGTAAAATATATTTTATAGTTGAGATTAATAAATATAAATGTGCGGCATATACTGCATGTATCAAAATAACGGTTTATGTTTTTGAATTTAAATTCATAGATAGTTTCAAATATAAAATAACATTAAAAAATAAAGGCCTTATTAGAAATTAACAAATTATCTTAATGAGAAAATATTACAAATATTTATAACAAAATAATTCATAATATAATGATAATTATTATATTACTCATAACATAAACTTATGAGTACATTATTTCAAAATTAAATATTATGAAGAATAAAAGCATAAACTGTAAAAATAAACAAATATCTTTTTAAAAATATAGAAACCTAAAAATAAATTATCTTAGTAATAATCCTATGCCTAAAATAGCTTGTATCCGAATATAAATTATTCCCAAAATATATTAGAACACTATCAAAAACTGCATAAAAATATATAAGCATATGAACTGGGAAAAAAATGTACTTTTAGATTTTGAGGCATTGATTTAGCAACTTCTTTTTAATAACATACAAATTTCACACATGTGGAAAGTTTCTACAAAAAGGTAAGAATGAATACATATGCAGATAATCATCCATTAAAATTTTCAACAAAAGATTACAGAAATTTATATAGTTTTACAAACACATATTACTCAACAAATGATTAGAAATTTGTGTTTCTACAATCTTTTCTCATGCAGCATTTCAGAGCAAGATATGTTGAAATCAGTCATATTTCCTATACTCCAAAAAAAACTCTAAAAAGTTTTTTAAAAAAATCTTTGACAATTCTTTCTCCACAGCTGCACTATTGAGACGATTTCATGCGCTATTTTTTTAATAACACAATGTAAAGAATAAGTATACACAGTAACAAAATCCAGAGGAGAAAGATATTACAATATATTGGGCCATTCCATAAGTATTGTTTTGTTAAATAAGTTTTAAAAAATGAAAAACTAGAAAGATATGAATTTAATCAAATATATATTACTCATCTGAATGTTACATTCTTCCAATGCTGCAAAAAGAATTTTTACACCATTCTTAAAAAAAATCAGCTAACTTATCACAGAAAAAGCTTTGAAGGTCAGTTTAAAAATGCCTCAAAGGAACTAACAGCATCATTTGTTCCAGACAAAGCCCTACATGGCAAATTTTGCATTCAGATTATTCATTTTTTGCATACTACATGCTGTTTCCTTGACTTCCCAATCAAAACATAAAAAAAAAAAAAAATAAATAAATAAATAAAATAAAATAAAATAAAATAAAAAGTAATAAAACGTGCAGTTGCTTACATTTTCAAATTCTCCTGAGCTGACCCTTCAATCCCCCCCTCCCAGAAAAAACTTAAAACCAAAACAGGATATTGCAAGTCAAAGCTCTGTGGAACATTATTCAAAAAATAATGATCTTCAATCACCCTCTACTGTTGTTTAAAAGCTTGACTAAAATGTTCCAATTTGAAATAACACTGGCATGATCTCAGGTCTCAAGATTCGGAAAGGCTGGTAATAAATATGATACTGTGGGCTCCGAAGGAAAAATCAAGTGATCACAGTCTAGAATGGGTTACAAAATAGTCATCACATTCTTGCAAGTCAGAATTTATCTAAATTAAATTGTTTTTGTTCAATGATATACAGCTTTGAAAGTCACTAGTTTAAATATTTTAGTACAAGTTTAGCTTCATTCAAAATCTATACCAGTGATTCTCAACCTTTCTAAAGCTGCTGCTTCCCTAAGGAGCAAAAAAAATTATAACATATGTGAAAATCCTGTAATTTAGGGCTGGGGAAAGACAGTTCCTGAATTATAAAAGACAAAAATTTTAAGCAATTTTTTTCAGTTGACTTACACAAAAAAATTTTTTAACTCGATAGTTTTGCCCTGGAAGGTAATTAATTACATTCCTTTGGTTAAAACTGAAATAACTAATGGGGGGAAAAACCCTAAACGCTCTTTCATGTTTAAAAAATTCTTTATTATTAATTAAATAATTATAAAAAAGAACAGTAAAAAATACACTAAGTGAGTAATATCAATGAAAAAAATCAAGTATTATCAGTGGGATGTTTGTGCTTGATGTTTCAGAACCAGTTTCAACAAGGTAGGAAGAAGGGAAGGCAATAAAGAATTTTTTTGAGGATAGTCCACAGTCCTGGGTAGAGGTGACTGATGCTACTTTGAAGCTGAAATTCTGTAAGAAGACCACTATTCTGGAAGCTGGCTTTCTAAGTTTCATTAATTCGACTAGTTCCTCTTGAATCTGAACCTCTGCTTTCTCAATATTCATAATAGGGTTCATGATCCACTGTGGGACTTTCCGAGACAAAATATCCTCAAAACACTCAGAATGCTACCTATGAATCATGCAATGAACAGCTACTCTTCACCGATGGTATGAGCTTTTCCCGATTTAGCAATTAATTTTAATATATTATAACAGGCTATCAAATCATCATCACATTGCTTTGATGACACTACTACTAAGCCTGAGACAGACAGTGTTTTCAGGAGCATGTCCTTGATGTTTGTGAAAAATGAAAAATCTTTATTTTGTTTGTCAGGATGAATTTAATGACATCATTGGAGGCAGCAAAATATAATAACGATAAAGGAAAGATAACTATTTCTCAAAATTAATAATTCACAACACAGTAAAGAAATAATAAGTGAAATTACCTAGGTGACTGGCCAAATAAAGAATGAAAGTAAATCAAAACCGAGGGGGAGGGGAAACAGAAACAAAGCGAATGAAAAGCAACACAAGAAACACGGGTCAAATCCAACATTCATATTGAAAGGATGTTCAACGCATGCACTGTGATTAATGGCGCATGGAAGTAGCTGAAGTATGTGCTACCTAGAATATAATTTTGCTTCATTCTTAGGAGCAGTCGCCCAAGTTTGTTTTGTTGCTGATACAAATGGTTTAAACCAGATAATTAATTTAATAATTTTTTGGGGAGTTTTAAAATTAAGTTTGAATGCCAAAACATGCTCATTACCCCCTACCACCTTGAATGAGGTTCACCCCCCTCAGCATTCTCTTAACTGCTCCCATTGAGAATCAGTAATCTATACCAAACTCAGTTTGTTATTTTGCCAGATTTTAACATGTTTTATCAAGTATTGTCAGAAAAACATTACTTATGGGATGACCTCACACTTTAAGCAATACACAAACTTACAGTCATTGCAAATTGTTCAGCTTCAGCTAGTTCTTTATATTGATCTTTAAACTGCTCTAGCCTAGACAGTTGTTCTGGTTCAGGCATATATCGAATTAATTGTTGAAGCATAGCATCTGTCAGCTGCTCTTCATCAACTCTAAGAATGTATTTCAACATGTCTTCAGTTGAAATTTTAACGGAACCTAATAAAATCACTGTAAAAAATTTTTAAAAATCATTAGCTGTAGATATTTTTAACACATTCAAAGTATTTTTGGTTAAGAAATGAATAAATGGATATTCTTACTTAAATTTTGCGCTGATTTGGCATCTAGAACTTTTAATTCTTTAACTTTCTTCGTAGTTTTTTTCTCTTCAAGTTTATTGTTTTCTTTTTTCGCTGAAATTTTTAAAGGCATTACTTTTACAATTGAAATTTTCTAAGGATATTTAAAACATTTATATCACAAAAAATTTATGCTACAAAAGGTTATTAATTGGTCAAATAAATAAACGACAGTTTAGAGCGATTAGGTTTTTTTTTCTTTTTGTGGAGGCAACAGTCTTGAAAAATGTGCAATGGCCTTGCCAGGACTCGAACCCTAGACCTCACGAATATGCATCGAGTATGCTTCCAATTATACCACAAAGGCATGCAGAAAGGAGGGAGAAAATGCCTTATTAAGTCCATAAAATATAAATCTATTTAACTTTAATATTATACAGCATATATAGATTACTCTCTATAACAACAATCCATTAAAAAAGGCCTATATTCAAGTAGTGGAATCCTCTACCTGAATTTCTAATTTAATGCATAAAAAAGTAGTCATAAACTGATATCTTTGCAATATTAAACATGCAAGCCTGCCAAAAAAACTGAGATTCCCTTTTTTTTTTACTAGAGTGATAAATGCTAGGAGAAACTTTGGAAAGAGCCCAGTTTTGGAGATTTGTGTACTGGGAACACAAGTTGGGCACCTAGAAACCACAATTGTTTCTCCTTCACTTTCAGTAAAAAAAAAAAAACTTTTCAGAGATAGTTTTCTAATCTATGATTATTTTAACTACCCCATCATATTATTCTTCACAAATATTAAGCTATTTACTTATATTATAGCCGTCATCTTGATAAATGGAAAAACTAAGAGGTTCTTAACTGATAACCAAGAGTTCCTTGGATGTTTTCACATTATCAATGATGCCATTACAAAAGAATTCTAAAGTGACATATATTCACTTTATGATATGTGATTCAGGTTATCGCTTTATAATATGATTCTGATGTAAAATAAATTAATATTTAATTAGCTGTTCTAAATTTTTGTTCTTTGACCAATTTTTATGTTGCAATTTTCTTAAACTTTTATAATAGGAAAATCCTACGCAGGAAAGAAAAGCTTTTATTTAAAAAAAACATTAAAAATTAATGCACATAATATTATATAGCTAAGGTTAATAATGTTTATCAATATAAAATAAAATTAAATATAAAGTGATTAAATAGTGGTTAAATTTCCATAAAAAATTTACAAATGGTGTACAGTAGATGAAGACAATTCAGATCAAATAAAATTTAATACAAAAAATTTAGCCGAAAATCCCTAGGGGTGGGGAATGGAGTTTGCACAATTAAAATTTCATTAAATTATGGGAAACATTTTCTTTAGTACCTTTTGTTAGTAAAGGCAAAAATTAAAAACCGGAAGATTCGGTGATCAACCGGAAACAAAATGAAAAACCACCGAGTCTCCAAGCAAAACTGAGAGTGCTGATAGCTATGTCATGGGTGTGCGTGTAATATGCAAAACTGGGGGGGGGAGGAAATTGTAGATAAAAAGTTGTACAGATGGAGATTTACTGAATACAAACCAGCAAGAAATCAAGCAAATATTTCAATTCTCTTTTTTTAAATGAACACATCACATGAAACTCTTCCCTAAAAAATCCAAATGAATTAAGGGAGGAAAAAAAATCTGAGGTTCATATGCTTGAATTGAATTTCACTATGGTAAACAAAATGAAAACTACCTGCCATCAAGGATTTCATTATAACCATTACATTTAATTCTTAAAGCAGGCGATAGCATATACTGGAAGAACTGGTAGGAAATTCTGAAGTAAAATTGCATAACGAGGTATTAAAAGTGTCTTAACTTATTCATACTGGTATAAATAATAAACTGCGAAATAAAAGTACTATATTATTAAATATACATTATTTTTAAGTAATCAATATTTTACACTGAATTCAGATCCATCTGTTTTATTAACAAACTGATAATATTTATATTCCTAAGACAATCTGACTACTTTTTCTCATACTACGAATGCAAAAAATAACAAAAGAATATAGTAATTATCTGATAAATACAAATTTTGAGCTTTCAATAAATATACAGTCAAAAGCCATAATCCGGACTTCAAAGCTACAAACTTTCTGTGCATGCGTCGCGTTGACGCATACGCGTAAGACCTTTACGGCTGCGAATATGCGTGTGCGCATGCGCAAAATATATTTACGAATGCGCGTTTAATGTATAACGGATGGTATACGCTAAGATAAAATTATCTAATTCAGTTAATGTTGCAGATTGCGTTGTTCCTTAATCTTCGAATTGGATCTGGCTTATTATTTTTTGCAGACTGTTAGAGCAATTTTATAAAAGTAAGCTTGAACTTTAGATTATGTCAAATAGAATTTCTGATATATATTTACTAATATGTAAAGGATCTACAAAGCGAAAGTATGTTTCGAAGTCCATTAAACAAAAAGTGGAATTGCTGCAAAAAAAAAAAAAATGGATAAAGGCGTATCCTTTGTTTAGCTAACCATTCCAAAATCTGTTTATCAATTTCACGCTGCTCTGCGTAGGGGGGGGGGAATGTCGCAGCACGCAATGAACTGGAAGTTGATCCGTCAGCACTATCCTTATCTTCAGGGCAGATGTTTTTATTTTCTTTGGCTTATAATTCCTTACTAAATGTAGTATTTCATCTCGATGTACTCCGTCTTTGATATGATATAAATCAAATTCCTCGTCATTATAATTCTCTTCCGATAGCGAAGAAAGTGACACAGTGTTCACTTTCTTCAAAAACGAAAGAATTTTGATTGACAAATTAGTCGGTATTCTCGACACAACAATTATAGGACTTGAACAGCGGAACTTTGTAACTGAACAAGAAATTATGTCTGTTTATAGAATTAAAGAGAAAGTATTATCACATAAAAAATGGAGCAACTTAAACTTACATTGAAAGAAATGTTTAATAAAGTAAACAAATAAATATTAAGCTTTTTTTTTTTTTGTAAATTTTGATACCCCTTAGATCATAATTGTTCTTTATTTCATAAAATTACAGTTTTCATATTTTTAATTTATAATTTCTGCATGCCCATCTTACCAGATTTAAACTGATGATCTATAATCCGGAAAAATCGATAATCCAGAATCGCCGAAGTCCCGACGAGTCCGGATTAACGACTTTTGACTGTAGTATATATAACAATTATCAATTAGTATATATAACAATTAACACAAAAATAACGAGAGTTACATGTCTAAAGAAGTAAGGAAACAAATCAATTAAACAAAAAAGATGTAGGTTGCAGTGTGACACATTCTATAAAAAGTAATTTTTTAAATAAACCATGATTCTGGATTTCACAAGAATAGCCATATATATATAAACCTAAAAAGTTTGTGTTTTTTTTTTTTTTTTTTTTTTTTTTTTTTTTCCCCCAGTTTAATGTATTTTACAGAAAGGTTAAACTAATACATTTGGGTATTCAAATGGATGACATGTAAAAAAAGTGTCTCCCCTCCTCTCCCCCCCCAAAAAAAAGCAACTGGCAGCAGATTCATAATTTTATTTGAAGAAATGAATCAAATAAAGTTCGGAAATTTAGTTCATATTACTCCCTTTAAAAATTTTTAATATTCCAGTAAAAATATTCAAAATTTTAATTCTCTGTAAAGAAAGTTTCAATTAATAATTTGTTCCTCAGGAAAAGAAAATAAGTAATATGCAAATTTAAACCACTTTCCCCAAAACAACTTGTTTTTTGTCATAAATTAGATGACATAAGCTTAAGGAAACAAAAGCACAGCACTATCAATATAGGGGTCATACAAAAAGTGAATTTCATTAAACACAGAATTTCAGATTTCAGTATTTTTACAAATGTTGATTTAAAATAAAGGTTTTTAAATTAACACTTATTTACTAAAAAAATACCTTCCATTAATCTGAAAATTATTACTCCTTTACGTGATTTACCAATGCTTATTCATTTCCCCCAAAAATTTTAATTAATGATATCTCAGAATAATTTTGATCAGATAAGGACGAACCTGCCTCCCTCTCCAAACGACCAAAAAGTTTCCTTGATGAAAACTCTGTTTCCATAGAGCCTATATCAAAATTGTAATTTTTAATAGCAGGTAATCACGTCATAAAAATTTTCATAATCCGATGGCCCATTTATTGTATATCAATCATCAGTTAGTCTACAATCAATCATTCAAGAGATATTTTACACATGCAATTTTTGAAATACTCATATACAAAAAAATATAGCTGACGATACACTATTTACAACACAATTTTAAAATACTATATTTTGTATGAAGTAATAAGTACTAAATCTCAATATATATACCATATGTACTCACATATCCCCCTCTAGCTTTTTAGAACAAGGTTCTGAATTTTTTTTTTTTTTTTAATATTTGTGCAATTTTTCTCTTCTTCAAAGCATTCAATTCAGAAAGTGAGCTGCCCTAAATTTTCACAATGAATTCATCCACATAGTTGTTGCTTTCATCTAAATCACTTGCTCATGGATTTTAAGTGTGTGGGTTCTGATTGATAAAGTAATGATAGTGAAGATCTACAAGAAAGCAGGGATATCTAATGTTCTTAATGGTTCTGAATACCACTGCATGAAACAAGATAGACTGAACCGTTACAAAGACAATGACAATGATAATACAGATGAAGGCAATGGCTTGCAAGCTGTAGTTGACAGCTCACAGGCCTCAAAGCAATGAATGCTTTGAGGCCTGTGAGCTGTCAACAACAATAAAAGTGGGCAATGTTCAAAATACAGGGAAGCAGAAATGAAAATAACTTATTAGCTATCATAATGTTAATATTACTATGTATTCTTACTGAAATGTAGGTTTCTTTTAAGTAAATAATATTATCATAGTTACCAACAGTTTATCTGTAAATTGTAAGTTATAGTAAATGCATAAATTTTTTATGCACTTAACCATGTCCTTCGAATATTAAATTATTTGCATAATTTTCTCATCTTGTTTTTGTATGCAAAAATTAATTTTAAAAAAAGGATGTATACAAATAAATATGGTACTTTAAAATTATTTATTAATTTTTTAAAGGCTTTGTTTATTAGAAATAAGCACAATAAAAAAGTATACATCTAAAAGTGGTTTTTTATTAAAATATACAAAAGAAATTAATTTATACAATACAAAAATTCCTACAAATCTATGACAAACAGATTACTAAGGAATTAACTACTATCTATTAAACAATAATGGAAAAAAAAAATGCTCCACTTACACAAATTAATATAATAAACATTTCACTGAAACAAAAATAAAAAAAAAAACAAAACAAAAAAAACATACAACATAGTATTTTACCTTGAGGTTTAGAACAAAACTTAGATGATAATGTTTCAAAAATATCATCACTAGCTAATTTTTCTTCATGAACAGAAACCCAGAATGCTTTATCAGATAATTTCTGAGGTGGAATCTATTAAAAAAAATCCTTTTCATTAAATTTATCAACACAGTTTACATTATTATAAGATGAAAAAAAGAAATAATCTCAAATATTTAAAATAAATGTTCATGTACTTATTTAAAGAGTTCTGAAATATAAACATTTTGCATTCATTCTTTACCAGGTGCAAAAAGTATGCTGATTTTTTCTACAAAACACAGAAATGTCAAATACAGAATTCTTTACCCTTTTAATCTCTAGCACCACATTTTTTCAGCTCTTAAGAACCTTTAAATAATTAATAAAATATGATAAGTTAATTTTTTTTTACCTAACTACTAACATGCACATAATAACCATGCAGTATTTTATAATTAATCAAATTCAGTTTTTTTGTATGGTTAGATATAAAAAATTCAGATCTGTAAAGATAAAAATTCTTGTTTCACCAACCCCTATACAGGTATATATATCTTCACCAACCCCTATACAGGTCAATCTGAGCTTTAACAATTTTATACCAATAGGCAGTAATGTCAATTGTCGGGACTCAATATTAGCCTGCTTTCCTCCTATAAATTAGTAATACCATCTCCAAGTGGTAACTGCACTAATGCTGTTAGTGCTCTTGAGGCTGGCAAATAATCTCGGAGGTCAAACCAAGGGCTGCAGTGCAAAAACCAAACATCATATCACCAAGGCAGAAAATTTCAAAGATGGTACTTGGAGCTATTTTAGAGTGAGTAGATTTCTCAGCAAGCAGTCGCACAAATTTTTGGGGCATGGGATTTCCCTTTGATGTGCAATATCTAACTGCAGATTGAAGCAGTTTCATTTAATTTCAACAGACAAACCAGGTGCTAATTAAGAAACAGATGAAGAAAGTTAAGAGGAGAAAGTGAATTGCCAACAATTTTATCTGATATACGATTAGATGATATCATGTAGAAATAAGGGTTATGTTTAAAATAATTTAGATAGAACAAATAATGTACCCCATTATCTCATGCTGTTGCATTCTACAGGCTCATGGATTTTGGAGTGAGCAGTGATAACTCTTGATGAAGATTCAAAACACAATTTATTCATCAGCATTACACAGTAGAGTTCCAAAGTTTACAGCCATCGAAAAATTATGATAAACATGCTGAAACAATTAGAAACATAGCCTTCGGCTATTAGGCTATAACATTGCATACAGCTTCAAGGCAAAGCTCTAAGGTACAGCTTCTGACTCGGTTGATTGCTTTCGAGCTAAAATCTGAACTCAACATATTCTCTTATGACACACTGCTACTCTGCATACAGGCAGCTTTACAGAGCTTACAGAGCTGGGGGAAACTGGTAATAATTCATTCTAGAATGTTCTCGCTCCATCTGTAGCATATCGCCAATTTTGTCACCAAATAGGTGATTTTGTGACAAATCTGGCAACCCTGCCTTTTCTTGCCACTTTCTGGCAACTCTAAACCCGCTTTGCAGGGAAGCTATCTTACTGCAGCTGGGCATTTCACAACATTACCTACACTTCTGGGATGAGGGGTTCTGTAAAAAAGAGCTTAGGAATTTTATCAACATTTAAGCACTGGCCTGCTCTTTTCTTAAATAGATGGATTTTTCATTTGATACATAAAGAAAATTGCCATGTACCTAGTGATCAAGAATGTGATAGGCCTGAAATAATGTAATTTATTTACTTTCATTAGCTCATGATAAACTCACAGCAAGCTTTTGAAACTAACTAGTATGAAAAAGTAGTAAGTTATAACAGTAATGATGTGAGTCTTTTGTAAAGTACCCCATGGTAAGTAACAAGTCAGCTTCCACAATAATTATAAGTTTAGCATTGTCAGTAATGATGTGCAATTCTTATCATTCAAGAAATAAAAATTTTTCATAAGAACAACCATCCATCAACATATACTTCTTCCATGCAAAAGCCACTTTCAAATACAGTTTTATCATTTAACTTGCTTCACCTAAATTATTCCATTCTCAACTAAACAAAGAAGCAAGCATTAAAAAAAAAAAAAAAAAAACTTAAGAACTTATTTTAAATCATTTTGCAACAGAATTCAACAAAGATTGAAAGCAGACATAGGAAAAGCTCTTTCTGGAGATATTCATGTCACCTGCTTTCAAATAATTTACTGTACTGTGTTAAAAAAGAAAACGTCCATTATTTACAATCAATGGCTAAAAAAGAAATTTTTAAAAATGGCTATTTTATATGCAAACTAGTCAATATAATGTTCAATTTGATTACGATTACTTCATGTTTAAGCACAGAAATAAAGATTTATAAACACATGTTAAAATTTTACATAAAGCACTGTATTCTGCATTTTCAGACCTTTTTCCAGTTGGCACGTTTTAAAGGTGTGTCTAAGACATATTTTTTCTTGGGTTGCATTCCGTATGGCAATATATTAGAGGATGGTAGGCTTGGTGAAAGACCTCCCATAGGAGGCGGAGGAAATCTGATACCTCCTAGACCAGGCGGAGGAGGAGGAGGTGGTGGGCCAGATCCAGGAGGCGGTGGTGGTGGAGGTGGCCCCATACCAGGCATAGGAGGTGGAGGAGGTGGTCCAGACCCAGGCATAGGAGGAGGTGGTGGTGGGCCACCGCATCCAGGCATTAGTGGAGGAGGAGGGGGCATACTACCTCCTGGAGGGGGTGGAGGTGGTGGAGGAGGAATGGAGCCAGTTGAAGCTGATAATCCTGAAGGTAGCTGTGGAAGCTTACCCTGCAAACAAATAACACCAATTAAATATTTTGATAACACATGCAAAGGTGTTATCAAAATAAAGGCAAGGCATTTAAACATTTATAATAAATATTAAATTAATAAAAAAATTTTAATAAATAAAAAATTAATAAGCACCTGAAATGTTAAGATTAATAAAAATTCTACTTTAGTTAAATTACTTTTTAACACATAGCCTAGCTGTAATATATAAAGATTTTAAAATTATACTTCTATGTATCTATAATAACTTTATAACTGATTTATAAAATTTTCATATGACATATAATATTAAATAAAATTTTTTATTAACTACCCTTAAATTACAGTTAAATTCCTCTGTATATTTTACACATTTCTACATACGAAATCTATACCTATAAACAGTTTTCACAAAGTCAAAAGTATGCATCAAAACAATTACTCTCTGGGGACAAAACTACCTAGCCAAGATGTTATCATCACTTGGTATATATCTAAAATATATTTCCTGCTGAATTTCCTTTAATGAACTAGAAATCATATTTAAAGCTCAATTTACAAAACTGGAAGCATGGGGTAAAATGTTTTATAAAGGTCTCTCTTTCAGTTTTTTCAATGTAAGAGATATTATTGGTGCAAATTACATAAAGTACTTTGTGAAATAATTAAATAACTTGCTAGTTTTCCATTTAAACCATGGTCCATCAGCAGCTGAATGGTAAAGTTGCTGAACACCAGTAGTTTGACCTGGGTTCAATACCAGGCGAACAGATTATAAGCAAGGGTGTTTTTGTAGTTTTTCCCATGTGTAACATGGATCAAAGTAAGTTTCCCTTAGAAAGTCTGCACAGGTCTCCACGAAAGCATCCCTCCTCTTAGGTAGACAGACCTAGCAAACTGTGCCATAATCAAATAAATCATTTAAAGCTATTTAAACAAAAAATATGCTTTGCCTTTTTCTCTCGCCCCCCCCCATGGTTTCAGCTTACTACGTTGTATGCAAAATGCAAACTTATACGATGACTGTTAAAATTAAGATTGAACTGTTGCTGCTTTTTCTTTATTGCTTATTATATAAACTTTCAACCAGTTAACCCATTCAAATTATTCCCCTCTACTGTCAATACATCATTGTCATTATTTCTCTTATTCTTGGAATGCCTGCTGAAAATGACAGCACATAATATTCTCACTACATTTTCCTAAATTTCTTCTATGGAGTGAAAACAAAATCAAAGTGGTTTAACGTTTGGGGAAGAAAAAAAAAAGTCTTCCAAGGCCAATTATGTAGAAAATAATGGGTGGGATACAATAAAATTGCAATGTTTTGTCAGATAACTAGGTAACAAGGAATAATGCATCAGCTAGAGCATTATCATGATGCAACATCTATGACTGATTATCCCATATTTCAGGGCTCTTCATATGCATAGCATCTCTCAGTTGTGTTAGAATCCTCTGGCCACTTTTGACAAATTACAGTGCAGACACTCTGAATGTTGGTCATATGTCGATGAACATTGACCAGTCCTTAGATCTTAAGGCAACTGAATTTCTGCCTTCCTGAGAATGCTGAAACCAATCACAGCACTGCGCTCAGCTCATGTAATCATTCCTGTACGTTTGTTTGGTTAAGCATCTGGAATGTTTCCATGAAAGTTTTACGCAAAATTTCACAGACATATTGTTCATCAACTCTGCTAATATGATAAGTAGTTTACGCACAATACTCTACAACTAAAGCATATCTCAGAACCTAATAAAAGACAATATGTTTACCAAGATACTGCTAGATGTACACACTGACCAAGGTATTCTACCTGCAGCTATCGGTGCACAGTGTAAACAGTTTGGTCTTCCCTTTTGAACAAACATTGTACATTTTAAATTATTCCTGCCCCCCCCCATCTCTAGGATGAAAAAAAATTCGATAGAGAGAAAACTCTAAAGAATTTTTAGTGGTTTTATTGCAAATTTTACTTAATTAATTACAGGTATAAGTCTAAAATAACGCAATTAAACTGCTGACAATTTTAATATTCAAATACATGACCACACTAGAAAAAATATTCATGTCACAACATGAGCTTCAAATATAATGGTTGAAGATACAGCCTGTGCAAGTTAGCAAATCCAAACTTAGCTAAATGATATCAGATGCCAAATGATAGCGTAAAAGAGTTGGAAAAGAGAAACAATAAAACAAGAAATTAAAAATTTTGTTCCTCCTCTTAATTTTACATAAACCTAGAATTGAAAAATTTTACATATTTTAAACATTATAGAAGAATTTTGGAGGTTCCCTGAAAGTGAAGGTATTATACAGGATTTGGAGGTTCTCTCGGTTACATATCCTGTTTGCCATCATGTAAATTAGGCCTTGTCCCCCCTCCATGGTTGTTCTGAATAACTACAAGAAAGTGAATAAGTAATCAACAGGAAATTCAGAATGCCTTTGTGTAAATTAGGCCTTGCCCCCCCCCATTTTTGCTGAGTAGCTACAAGAAAGTGAATAATTATCAACAGGAAATCAACATGGAATTCAAACAGGAAAGCGAATAAAGCGATCAAAATGTAGCCAATAAATGTTGTTTAATATAGTATTTCAGAAATACAGTATTTCAGTTAAACATTTCCTCACAGGTTAAAATAAAATTCTCAAATGCAGTTTTTGTTCTTTATTTTTTCCTAATTTAATAACAGATTTATTTCAGGATCACTACCTAATTTTTGCAAGAATGAAAATGTAACAAATGATAACCAAGCAAAATTTAAAAAGGTTTTTCAATATAACCTGTTTAGGAATTTGTTTCAGCTGTTCAGATTTGTCCCCCCTAATACTCCCAGATTTAATAATAATTATTTAATGAATTTTATGCTCTAGTTCAAAAAGTCACCAGCGCCTTCATTTATTACTGACACATTGTATAGGTTTGCTATAAATGATTCATTGCAATTCAAAACACTGGTTTTCAAAGTATTACACATGTTACACAAATCTTTCTTACATTTCCTGTTCAGAAACATTCATGCTTACTCTTATTAAGGACATATCATAAGTCTGAAATATTCTGCCCTATGAAAGTACATAGCAAATAAATCAAACACAACATATCAAAATGGCATTTTTATTTTAAATACTTTGCATATGTATAAGGAATATATTGTTCTTTACACTATCCACCTTTATTTTAATTTGTGTGTATTAAAAGCTTTATGTTCAAGCCAAAAACAAATAAGTAGAAACATAACATTTTAATTTAAAATAGTGTACTTTCATTAATGGGATGCCAATTAATGCCAGATATATGCTCTGGAACAAAATCTGACTCACCAGGTACCTCTAATGAAACAAAAAGCTTTGTGAAAAAGAATGAGCATTTTATTAAATCCAGAACATATAAAAAATAGAGATAAATATAAAAATAGAAAATAGATTTTATGAAATCAATTTCAGATTATGTAACAGGCATAAAACAGTGAATTTTATAAACATTTTTAAAAACATGTACATCTTTTCATGTAGTTTATGGAAATGAATTCAATAATAAACAGTAACGCCAGTGCCATGCCATATGCGGCAGCTGCCTATTAATTTGCTTAAGCACCTGTAAATCTAGGACAGAAAATTTCCGAATTGCTGTTCATCCTTCTCATTTATTCGCAATGTCATCACTGCAGTTATTTATAACAAAATATACACAGGCTATCACATTTGACACTTGGCACATACTTGGAAATCGGTGGCTTGTTAACAGAAAAGTATCTAAAGGAAATTAGTTGTTTAGTGATAAGTTATTAATACATCAAATAATTTTAATACATGAATAATATTTTACAGTTCCTAACTGCTGTAATTTTTGCCAACTTACATCATTTGGCTTTTTGGTCTTCCATCAATCTGAGAGCAATTTTTTAACATGTTCCCTTGCACAATTCAGCAAAAAATTAAGAAATAATGCATGAAGAATAAAAAACATAACTTGGAATACAGTCGATTAGCAAAATTTTCCTCTAAACAAAACCTTCCCTTAATGGAAATTCAATACTCATTAATAATTTTTCATGCAATCCTTATTTTTCCCATTATGCCTGCCAGCACTATCGACTATTGCACACAGATGACTAAATCCGAAGAGTAAGAAGATAAATTTGCAAACCTTTTTCTAATCTGTGGACTGATATTAACATTAATTAAATTAACATTGATAAAATATGATTAAACTTATATTAACTCCTCATATCCATTTCATTCCAATTTATGAACCTTGGACAGGTGAAAACAAAAACAAGCATTTTCCAGAGCCTCAAAAGTAACAGAAGGATAGTTTCGATTGGATTTTTTAGATTACGGCATTTAAACTACTAGTTCTTAGTGATTTTACCAATTGGCCACTGGTGCGCTCAGTAATACAAAGAATATAGAACAGATAAACACTTATTCATATAATAAATTTACACAAATTAGTATATTACATAACTAAGATTAATATATTGAATAGTTTGGCAAATTAATTTAATAACACCCACAGAACAATGGCCAGCACAAACATATATCAAATATTATAAGAAAATGAACTTGAACTGAAACATGCAATTACATCTTTTGATTAATGGTAAAAGAAAAAAAAAAAAAAAAGATTTACTCACCCCTTTTCGAACTTCAGATATTACGGTTTCGTATTCTCGAAGTCGGCTTTCAACTTGGGCTAATTTTGCTTCTGACTCTTGTTTGGCCGTAAGAGCATCTTCTAGCTTTTTACTAAGCTCATCTGATATCCGCTCATCTTCCTGCTTAGATTTATCAACAATAGTTTCTGAAAATAATTTTAAAAAATTTTTTGAAAGAAATAGATTGCAGATACAAATCATAAAAATAATCTACAATATTTGCTCAGTGACTATCAGGCATCAGCATGAAGAGAAAGCAGTAAAATACCTGATAAAAGCTGAAAATGTTAAATGGTGATGCTTGATTAAGGCAGAGAAAGAAAGAAAGTTGCTACCACTAACTTTGTTACACAAAACAATAAAAGTCAATAGCAGCATAACTAATAAAACCAACCAGGTAACCTTCTTCATGTAATCTGATTCTTTGTATAGATCACATGATGAGAAATAGATTCTAGTCATTTTCATACTGGGAAATTACCACTTAAAATTTGTGTACCAAGCACAAATCAAGTGAGTTTTAGTATGATGTTAGTTATAATTCAAAATCTAAAAAATCATCAAAGGTGCTAAGTGTTTCTTCAAACAGAAAAGATTGGGAACTGCTACACTAAGACTGTACTAGACTGTTTTGATTAACCCTCTAAAGAGCAAAGATGTATGCAAGTTCAAACATGTATGTCATGATACTTTCCAATAGATAGAATGTGTCTTTAAATGAACCCAGATAATTTTAAGTTAATATATATATTGAAAGAAAATGTCACAGTACAATGTGGGAGTGTCATTTTAGAATTATAATCAAGAAAATATTTATTTCACGGCCTCCTGGAAAATTTAAGGTTTAGAGGCCTGACACCTTAATGGCTTTATTTTAAAATTCTTGAAGATTATTTTAATCATAAATATACATTTACACATAATAATTAGCTGATATTTATCGTTAAAAACAAATTTATGCATGTGACTACAATTTTCCTATGCTTTCCATTACACTAATCACATATATGCAAATTTAATGTACTTCTATAGAATATTTTGCACTTTATGTATTTCCAATATTATTATTTACAAATGTAAAGGTATATAAATTTTATTTTAAAAATTATACACACATAGAACTAATTATACAGATTCACATATCATCAAAACAAACTAAAAGTTCATGCACAGTAAAAGCTGGACTATCACTAAAGTGCAGGAAACATTAAATACCTGAAAACTTTGGGCAGTTGAATGTATAAAAAGTGCATTTCATGGTAGAAAAGCCAAATGAATGGAAAGAGAAATTTCTGATCAAAAGTTATTAAAACAGTCACCTTATTTGCTATTAACTTGAATATCAAAAGATTGAATATTAGAAATTATGTAATATTTTGGAGGGAGTTCATTCAAGACATAAAATTTGACGTATTTTGGTAACATATGAAAGTAAAATATTTTATCTAAATATGAAATCCCATCAAATGTGAAAGCTGATGGAGATACTGCCTAATTTACAAACATTATTTTTAGTAGATGTTTAAAGAAATAGATCGTTCCATATTCAGTTCAATAATCTATAGACACAAGAAATGAATATAACATAGAAAAATCACTTCTCACAGTTTTTAATCCTACACTGCCATTGTCTAACAAATTTCAAAATAAGCTGCATATAATATTGCACCCACTAATGTGCCATTTCCTTCATACCATAATCCCACAATTTTGAAAATACTCCACTGCATGCTGTTTCATTAACCAAGGTCGCAGTGTTATGCTTATCCATTATATGCATTAAATCACACTATTTGTTGACACTTTTTGCATGTAGAAAATAGGCAATAGAAAAATCAAAACTTGTTGATATTATACATTCTGGCCAGTCTTGCAATAAATATATTCAGTGCCTGTGGTGAATTTTGTAATCTCTCATACGTTCCCATGGTATACTGACTCCCCACTTCTGTTTCTATAAAAGAGTGTCCGGTTTAAAGTACAAATAAAACAGTGTGTGAGAGGGAGATCAATGCTTTCTGAAAGACAGCCACATAATTGCATTCTGATTTTAGGTTGTAAGGTTCAATGTAGTAGTAGTATATGGCTTTGCAAGTCTATGATTTGCCTAATTTTTCATTGAAAAAGTTTCTAAAATTCAGAAATATTTTAATTAAGTTGAATGCAGGACAGTCAAACTTTTACTGTGTTTCAGTCATATTTAAAACCTTAATTATTCAATCTTCAAATTAATTTCATATTCATAGCTTTCTTTTTTTTTTTTTTAATTCTAAATTAAGGAAGAGATTGAAAGGCTATAAAACTTGTTCCCGACTTTGGACAGAACCATGTATTTGGTTATCTTCATGCCTATTTTAATGATGCATCCAATATTGCCATATTTTTATTTATTTATTTATCTTTTACATTCTTCCTCCTCCAAACAAGACATACATACAGTTTTCCCTTTTTTCCCCCTCATTTTTCTCCCTATGTATACAGCAGTCTGTTTTATTTAGGGGGGGGGAATCAGAAAACAGCATGAATTCAGATTGTTTTGGCACCAAAATCCTAAAATGAAAAAGAGACACATGATGCCATAGATGATGAGATGGGAGATGCTACACACATACTTAGATAAACACATAATTACACTTTGGTGACATCATGAATTGCCACATAAATACTTTTTTGCAGCTTTTTGGTGAGAAATCAAGAAGAATCGAAATTTCTACCAATATTCCTAATCAGACTGATATATGCAATGAAACCACTTGTCACGATTAAAATGATGGTAAAATTGAGCAAACTCACTATATGCATACAGGCCATAAGCTAAAAAACAAGCCTAATGAGATAAGAGATGGGAAGATGTGACAAATAAAGCTTGCAGTTTTTTTTTTTTTTTTTTTTTTTTTTTTTTTTTTTTTTGTTTGTTTGTTTGTTTTTTTGTTTTGTTTTGTTTTGTTTTAGCAAGGCTCTTTCCTTTCTTAAAAATTACAATGACTTGGAATCCACTAGTAAAAATATCCCAACCCAACTCAAATGGATGGTGTTTATAAGATCTCAGTATGCCAATATTAGAAAAATTATATTGTTCAAAAGAACAAGAGCCACATTATCTAAAAATCAATTGTGGGGAGAAATTGAAAAAGGTCTTTACAATGTGCACACTTAATTTCCTCTAACTGAAATTTTTATATATTACAATAAAATACTTAAACTCTTATGACAGAAAAATAATTGTTATAAAAGAATTTATTACATGCAAAAGAAATTCTACCAGTTATACTAAAAATAAAGACTTAGTGAAGGTATCCTTTATATACACTCATGTCCATAAATTAAGGATAATTTGGAGTTACGCAGAAATCGAATTCTAAAATAAATATATCACCTGTAAAATTACTACACACATCTTCAAGATCATATGCAAATTTCAGGAAGTAACCAGATGACACCGATGGTACGTCACAATGACGAGAGTGTAAGAGAGAGTGAATACAGGCAAAGAAGTAAAATTGTTCGCAGGCGCTTTATAAGCATTTCAGTGCAATAACCGAATAGTTATGACACAAAGGACGCATTTGGATGATTTTTTACGTGGTAGAATTATCGGCCGTCTGGAATGTGGGCGTACCCAACTGGAAGTATCAGACGAACTTGGAATTGCCCAGAGTGTCATCTCCAGGCTTTGGCAACGATTCCAAGATGATGGTAATGTGAGTAGACGTTACAGCACAGGTCGCCCCAGAGTTACAACGCCGAATGAGGACCGGTATTTGGCAGTTACTGCCAAAAGAAACAGGCGGAGCACAGCCTCAGACCTGTCTCGTCAGCTCTCTTCAGCCACTGGTACGACAATTTCAAGGCAGACCGTGTACAGACGCTTAGGGCAGATTGGTCTATATGCTCGTAGACCTGTCAGATGCGTTCCACTTACTGCAACTCACTGTCGCCTGCGGTTAGCCTGGAGTAGACAGCATGCATTGTGGACACCGCAACAGTGGGCTTGTGTGATGTTTTCCGACGAGTCCAGGTTTAGCTTGCAGTCTGATTCTCGCCGGACTTTCATATGGAGAGCTCCAGGTACCCGTTACCACCAAGAAAACATCATTGAACGACACCGTTACGGTGGTGCAGGAGTGCTCGTTTGGGGTGGAATTATTCTGGGTTCCAGAACTGACCTGCATGTTCAAATTGGAACCATGACAAGCCAAATCTATCGGGACGTCATTCTGGAACAACATGTACGTTTGTTTCGGGGCGCCATGGGCGCACAATTTGTGTTTATGGATGACAACGCCCGTCCTCACCGTGCAAACATCGTAAGCGAATGCCTTCAATCGGAGGATATCACCCGTATGGACTGGCCAGCATTCTCACCGGACTTGAATCCAGTAGAGCACGTGTGGGACATGCTTGGCCGACGAGTTGCAGCCCGTCAACCTCCTCCTACATGTCTACCGGAACTTCGGAGAGCATTGCTTTTTGAGTGGTGTAATATCCCCCAAGATCAGATCGATAATACTCAGCATGCCTAGGCGTTGTACGGACTGTATTGTATCGTCTGGGAGACATACACTGTATTAACAATCATACCAACCATGTATTATTGTTTTTTTGTAAATAGGTTTTTTTTTGTAATTTGCTCCAGGGAGAAAAAAATCGCTAATTTTTTTAATAATATCAAACATATAGCATCTTTTTTTGCTCTTTACCTTTTGTTTAATAAATAAGCTTTACAAATATGTCAAATTTGTTTTGCTTCTAACTATTCCTTTGCCTGATTTTGAATTATCCTTAATTTATGGACATGAGTGTATTTTTGATAAATACAATAGACAACTTAAAAAGCACACATAAAAGAAAAAAAAGTGCATAGTTATAAAAACAACAATAAAACTTACCAATAAGAGGTTCTACATCAATTTTAAATCGCTTTGTATGCCTGAAATCTGGATCACAGCCATTTTTATGTAACACTATTTGAGAAATGCATTCTTCTATTAATCTGTAATATGCTGACCTATGCATAAAATACAGCAAAAATTTATAAAAAATATGCAATAAAAATTTATACACTTCTTGGTTTTGCATTTTTCAATACTCCCACTGTTTTATACATTCAAAGCGATACAAAAACATCATGATATTTTTAATAGAAATCATACACATCTAACCACACATAATCAATTAGCATGGGACAGTAACTGAGACACAATTTGGACAAGGGCAGATGCTAATATTTGTGAAAGCCATATTTGCTCGTTGATGCTATACTAGTGAATTGACCATATCAGAACTGCATTAATCATGAAACAACTCCAATATCTATGGCACTCATACTGGTCTACAGTTAGATCAATAATTTTATAGTAACAATTATTTGTATTTAATTGAATGGTTCATATTACACATGCTGGATTTTTTAATATTTTAATAAGTTTAATATTAATCACTACGCTTATTCTACACTAAAAATTTATTACAGAACAACAAACATTACACTGAGATGAGAATGAATATATGCACAGGACAATGTATCAAAATAATATCCATTTAATGGAAATCTCATTTTAGTTATTCAAATTACTGCTTTATATCCCTCAGACAATTTTGAAATGCTAGTTTAAACCTTAGATTTGAAACTCTTCATGTAATCCTAAGCTGTAAATACTTTTTTTAATTATCACTAGAAATCGCAGAATGCAAAACACAGAAGATCAAATAAGTTATGTAAGATAATGCCTCAAGAAACATCACTAATGAATATTCAGTAGAAGAAAAGTCATTTGGAGTCCAATTTTCTGTAGTATCTAGTGGTGGTGGATTTACATAAATAGTACTTAAGCTTCACCAGATCTCACAGGCAGTTTTTGCCATTTGGGAACATTTTTCCCTCAACATAACTTAAGTTTACTATTAAACATACATACTGAATGATAAAGACTGTCTACCGACTACCTTCATTCGTATTTCCAAAAACTGCAGTGCCAGACTGCAATTCATTATTCATGCAGTATTCATTTTATGCAGTATTCATATTCAAGACTGCAGTGCCATCTTTAATAAGACAACACATCTTTTAATCAAGCTCAAGCAACTACTAACTAGAAGTTTGCCACTGTAAATTTAATACACTGTTTTGACTACTGTCATTAATTCTCCACAAAATACACTCTTTCGTAAAAACATTGAAGCACAGAAGGACTTTTGTGATCGTGACGAAATTTGGTACCCAAAAACATCTTGATCGAACATGCAAATGATCAGTTTCAAGGCAAATGAACAGGAATTGCGATCATACCACGCATTTCTGGTGTGCAATTTGCAAAGTATTAAACCAGTAACAGAGGTTGGAAATTTATCTTTTTTTGTTGCTGCTACTATAATTCCGTAAAGAAGAAACAAATATTGCCATTATGATGATATCGAAGACCTTACAACTAAGCGACTTCAAACGTGGTCGCATTGTAGGGTTGTGGGAAGCTACGTGGTCATTTTATAAAGGAATATATATGTAGAATTGCTTGTGCACTGAGGTGGCATAGAGCACTTCTGAGAGGTAGATAAAAGCACTTTTCTGGTGCAAATCTTCATTACTTGTGCAGTTTTCTCCAATTTACATAGACATACAAATGCAGAACTTGCCAACAAGCATTATATCTATGTAAGTGTGGAGAGAAATTTTCTGCTCAAAAGAGATACCAGGGTTTGTAGCCACATTTTAGTTAAAAAAATAAGTACCTATAAGCACTTTTCAAACACATTTTAAGAAATAAAATAATAAGCACCTGTTTAATTACATATATACACAACTGCATAACCTAAAACTAAAAATGAGATTTAACCGTAATTCAAAATACGAAAAATTCTGTATTTAAAGACAGAATCAGCATTACTCCACCATGCGAAAACAATTACAATTATTTTTTAATTGCAGATAACAGTTCAATTTATAGAACTAGTTTACAATAACAGGGGAGAAGAAAACTACGCAAAACTAAACTGCATCACAAGATTTAACGATGAAATATCAGTTTAAGGTAAATAAATAATAATAAACTGTATTTTTTATATTCATACAAAGTACTTTACAACATAAAAAAAAAGAAACAAAAAAAAAGATTTATGCTTATTAATTAAATTTTAACGATTTATGCTTGTCAATTAGTAATATTACTTTTATTTTTGATTTTTCTTTTCTTTCTTTTCATTAATGTCAGAATCCAAATCTCTTAAGAGAGTTTGTTTTTTCACAAATAGTTTTTAACATTTCATTAGATTTATTTAAAAGATTAAAGTCTTTTGTAACTTCAGCATTTTTAGCAAGTTCATTTGCTTTATTTTCAAGCACTTCAACTTCTCTTTCTAAGAGAGTTTTCTTTCTTTTAAGATCTTTTAATTTAATAGAAAAAAGTTTATTTACGATCAATGTGACACTTTAAAGCAGACCCTCTCATACTTGCTATGTTGATTTCAGTTTTACACCAAGAACACATGGCTTTGCGATTATTTTCGCTTTGTTTAAGCCATTCAGAATACTCTTTCTTAGAAAGCCAATCTGTGTTAAAAACACACCCATTTTTAAATTTTAAATATACTTCAGCATTTACTGCAAATATATTATAAATATTCATATATATGCTTATAATATAAGCATAAGGATCATAATAATCGCAATAAACGTGAATATGAAATGACCACGTGGGAGTTGGAACTTCTATAGTCTGTGGGTGGGAGTAAAAGTATGTGAAATATACCGCGATTTTCTACCCCTTTCACAACTCTGACCAATAGAATGACATGCACCTGTCTCTACTCATGTGAATCAAAGGTTAAAGGTTACGTTAATGGGCATAAAGCTGTTTCCAGAAATATGATTCACAATCTGACGCTCCAGATATGAAAGAAAAAGTTATTTATTTAGTTGCGGCTTTGATTTGGGGGAAAAAAGCACTAAAACCAAAAAAAAGTGCTTAATTTAATATTAATAAAAAGTTAATTTAAAGCTTTTCTGAAGTAAGTGAGTACAATTTAAGAACCATCATAACAAGTCAGCAGCTTAACTACATCCCCTTACAGTAGCATTTTTCTCATTACAGTAACTAACTTTCCTCTCCATTCGTGCAACGCATAAGAAATTGTGGATTTATGAATTAAATGTACCTGACTGCCCTTCTACAACGTATTTCATTCATTGAACAGAAATTAAAACAACTATCTGGCAATATTCTAAATTCTGAAATAAAGCAGATAGTTTGTATTTCATTGCTTGAAAAACTGCTTTAATCTATTAAGAATATATTGAAGCTAACACAATGCAATTCTGCAAATAATTAAATGACAATAGAAAAAGCTAAAGGAACGGCAGTAATATTTTTTAGCAAGTTATCAACAACTAAAAATTTATGATCAATATATGAAAAACAAATTCATACATATGGAATATTATAGTTAACTCCAGAAAAAGTTTATATGCTTTAATTGAAAACGCTTACTAATAACATATTTCACTTGGAAAAAAATTTTTACAGTGACAATGCAGCCCATTTTACAGATTTACTGATTTATACATTTTGTTTAACATCAAGCTAATAGTAAATCCAAATCATGTCATTGATAAAAAGAAACTAGCCTCTAGTAATTAATCTGAACATACTTGCTCATACTTTTGCATAATAAAGCAATGAAATTATTGACAATGTTTGAAAAAGTGAATCTAAGCATTGTTTCCTTAAGTATTTATTCTATACATGTATTTCCAATTATACAGTGTTTAAAGCAAAGAATTCTATAAAAATATTTTTTCACTAAGGGTAGGATAGATTTATAAATATAAAATAAATTATTTTAATGGTTCTGGTAAAACAACAAGGTCCAAATTAAAATGTTCATTTATGATTAGTAGAGCAAATGCAAAAAATTGCAGACTTTCCCTTAATTCCTTAAATTCATAAAAACTGGTAAAAATAAATTGTTTCTTCAGAAAAACATAAAATTATTACAATTTAAAAAACTGTAGAAAAAAGAGAAATAAATTCAATTTACCTCACAGTAACATCATCCCGTAAACACAATAAATGTTGAAGCACTGAAAGGAAATCATTCTCAGCAGGTGTCTCAGAAATTGTTTGCCGGATAAGTTCGTAGCAATCATTCATATCTCTTTTTAGAATTAAGTCAAAACCATGATTAAATCTTAAAACAAGGACATAAAATTACATTTCATTTATACGAATTCATTTTATTACCAGGGGATCTCAAATACATATTATTAATTAAATCTTTTACAGCATATGGTGTCTTACTGAAAATCGAAAACTGATATTTATCAGATATTTCAGGACATACATTCCATGAAAATTAAAATATAAAACTATCACTTCAAAAAATCTAATGTTACAGCATTTAGTTAGGACCAAATAGAAAACTAATCTCTCAAATTTTTCAATACAGATTTATTTCCTCTTCATCTAAATGTCACAAAGAATCTTATCATGTAATTTCCATTAAATTAAAACTGAAATATTTAAACATAACTGAAATAAGTAGATCCTTCTTGAAGTCAAACTTCAAGAATATTGAGCATCTCTGTCAGAACCAGTTTCATCTATATAATTATTAACACAGAAAATGCTTCTGCATGAATATTAACATACACATAACATCTACAAAAATTTAGGACAGAATTATTAAAAATAAAGAGTGTGAGTAGACAGAAAGACCAAGATCTATGAAACCAATTTTATCATTGTTTACCCTTATTAGACTTCTAATTGTCTCTTGGCATGCTCATGGAGTTTCTGAACTGCTTCATAGAAATCAACTTTCGGAACACTCATCCTTATCATTACAGTTTATTGAATGTCTGAAAATGGTTCGCTTCAAGATAAGATTTTACTCTAGAGAACATAGAAGTCAACTTTAATAAGATAGTTGAGAACAGTTACACTTTTGATTGCACTGCAATATTAGACAACACCTGCATTGTATGAAAGAATCTTTCTCTTGCTTTTTACTGCAAGCCACTCAATCTATAATTACATGCATCAGATTATAAAATCAAATTCCAACTGGACTTCTTCCTACAAAATGGATTATATTTCAACAAAACAACTTGATGTGTTAGCAATCATTTTCATTAATTGTCCCAAAATGTAGCATACCCACCTTTATGCTAAAGAAATTGTGTTGATCACTCAATTATGTCCTTGCAGAAGAGACAGTTAAAAATAATACAAAGCCAAAAAAAGATGCATAAATGAAAAGTTAAATAAAATCTGAGCTTAATTTAAATTACAAACTTGGCATTAAATCCATGATGGAAAAGTATCATTAACTAGATCTGCTAAGAATGATTTAACACATAAAAGCTCCTATACACCATCACCAAACAGCTAACTATCATAACAGTTGTATTCTTAGTAAGCTTAAAAAACTCTATAATCTGTAAAATTACTTTTTTTTTTTTTTTTTTTTAATAAACAAATATAAACTTTGCTTTTGCCCTTCACTGTAAAAAGGCTTTTCAGTTCACTGGAATAAAAATATCTTGAACAAGATGCATCAATATACCGTATTTGTTGGCGTGTAAGACGCACTGGCCTATAAGATGCACCCCCTTTTTTATACACATTTTTGAAGGATAAAACTTTATTGCTGATCATTATAATGAATTTACAGTATTTTAAATATAAAGTAATATAAATACAAAGTAAAACTTTCTGAAAATACCCAATCTATCTGGGAAAGAACTCCATTTAATCTTCTTTGTCAAAACCCAGACACTCATCTCAAAAGCTGAGTGAAGAGTCCCCTGAAACCTCTTCTAAATCCGCATCTGAGTCCTCATACAACAAATTGTCCTCTGTACGATCCATTGCATTACTAATGACACACTTCCTAAATCATTTAACCACTGTCTCTGCTTTGACAGCATCCTATGAAGCTCTGACCCATTCCCAAAGAAACTTCGCAAGGAAAAAAGAAAAAAAAATCGCGTTACTCCCAATAAACTGAGTATAGGTGTATAAGACGTACCCCGTTTTTCAGACCCATTTTCAAAGAAAAAAAGTGAGTCTTACACGCTGGCAAATACGGTACTAAATACACTGATGATGAACATATTAGCCTACTACTGTTTCAAAGTCTGTGTGATTGTACTTCCACTGATGTTCCAAATTCTTACAAAGTAATGAAAGCAAAGCGTTTCATGTACAAACACTTGGAAACATGTCCTACATTTAATCTGTAAGACAGCAAGAATTATCCATAGATTTTCTGCAATAAACTTTTGCACAACATTTGGTTTGAACTTTCTTAGTAAGCATCAATTTTGATAAATTTTTACTTAACACCATTATTAAACAGATGTTCATCAATTTCATCTTTTAAAATTAATTGTATATAAGTCCTATCTTTAAGAGATTTCCCCCTAATACAATTTACAGAAAACCCACACATAACTTTCGGGATCATCTAATTAAGAAGATCCTAGAAAGTAATTCTTTTGCAGGTTTAGAGCCCTGCATTATATTTAAAGAAATTAAATAATGAAAGAATCTGTATGAATGTATGTATGTTTGCACTGTGAATAAACAACAGTACCTAGAGACATCAAATTTTGAATAATTTAGTCCTTCACTAGAATATGGGCATATATCACTAGAATATGGGCAGGTATTTGTCGTGTAGGCAATTATCAGAGTGGCGCCTTTTTTGTAGGCTTTTGTCGTCTGTGCTTTCGTCCAGTGGACTTTTGTCTGGTCACTGACAAAATTATGAGTGATCATGAATTACTAACATTAATATGACAAAACATATGTAAAACGAAAAAATACGTTAAGACATAGTTTTACTCGGAGCTCTTCTTATCACGAGCAAACTTTAAATGATCTGCATTAAGACTGCATCACTTGAAGATGGTTTCCATTGGTAATTTTTTTATCATCTTGCTACAGTTTACAATATATTCATGATAATATTTAAAAATTTGAGTTGTAATAATAAGGAAGTCAATTTAATAAACACAAATTGCAAATAAGAAAGATGGTTCCAAGTTCTGCTCTTGAGGGAAGCATTTATATGTTTTGTTTGTTTGTTTTTTTATTTACTTTCTCATTTTACGGAACATTCAATCATACAATATATACTTTTAAAGAAATTACACAAAACAAGATATGACAAAAAAAAAAAAATTTTTAAAAAGGGTGTTTATTCATTTTGCTTTAGATTCTGTTTTTCTTTTATAATAAACTTGCTTAGTACAATTAATAAAAATTAAATACATCTGCAAAATAATTTAATGCCATTTCAATAAGCAATCAAAAAGAAAATGATGGAAAAGGATACTCAAATTCTAAACGTATATTTTCATAACGCTGTGAAAATTCATCAAAATCTTCATCTTTGTGGTCATGAAAAATTTTCAACTGAATACTTAATTCAGCAGTTTGGTTTCCTTCTGCTTGCAAATTCTACAGAATTGATACAGAAAATAAATACATAATATATTTTAACATGAACTGCATACACATGTATATGTGTGTATACATAAAACTCAAAAGTGTACATATCCTAAGAATAAAATCCTAAAATCAATACATCCTAAGAAGATTTCAATATAAAAGTTTATAAAAACTAATTGACAATTAGCGCAAATTGCTGCAGTCTCGAAAAAAAAAATTTTTAAAGACCAAAATGCAATTTTTTAAAAAATTGCATTTTGGTCTTAGCTTACCTCTAAAACATCAATTAGTCCTGTTCTCATAAATTCATTTCTTAGGTGTAAACGGAAGTCCAAATCATCAGGTGAAGTAACTAATGCATTTATCAGCTGAATGCAAGCAATCTGTAAGGGAGGAAAATCAAATAACTTTTCCACATAGAATAAAATACAGTTACACAAATTTTTCTAATAGTCCAACATTGGACTCGACAATTCTTTGCATAGCGAAAGTGATATTGAATTATATAACAAATGTCATGTCCTAATTATTAAAATATCCTCTTAGTATACAGAAATTGTTATCATATTGCTATTTACTTTTAAATAAGGTGCAATACAAGTAATTCACTTAAAAATTAATTTATGAATCAAAATGCAAATGAAGACTTTATTAGGAATAAGAGGAGGTATACTATATACCAGGTATGGGCAAACTACACCTTGTGAGTTGCATGAGGCTCTTTAAATTCCTAAAGTAAGACTCACTTGCAATAAAAAAGAGTTTTGTTTTTGAAATATGGTTCCATTGCAGGACATAAATCATACAACGACATGCTTATTCATCAGGTAGTAATTTAATTTCCTATGTTACTTTATACATGTAGTAATTTAATACATTTCAAATAGCCACCTTAGCCATAGCTGTTACTCATTTAGTATCCACCCAGGATGCACCTGTGAATTAAAGATATCATGGACATGAATAGCATTGCCTCTAGCAGTTATTCTAGTCCATTCCAAAGCAGCCATCCAGGTTGTAGTTATAAATCACAGATACCCAAATTATCTCAGAAACAAGACAAACCCTTGAACTTTCTTTATAAACACAACAAAACCTTCGTTTTTCGATGGATCCCTTCACATGTAGGTATCGATGGTAATGAAATGGCAGACTCACTAGCCAAGAGAGGAACACTTGAGCCACAAGACAGCAGGCCACTTCCTGTAAAGAGGCTGAGGCACACTTCAGACTACAAACAGGCCACGATTGCATGGCACATCATCTTAATAAAATTGGCATCCTTTCATCTAGTTATATGCCAAATTTGCAATTTGGGCATCATGAATGCACAGCATCTTCTTATATGCTCAGAATTAGATAAAGAGTGTCAGAAATGTGGTGAGATAAGTAAACTATACTGGAATGTCAGAGCTTTCATAAACTCCTTGTAAAAACTACATCTCTTATGTTCCCTTCCTTGTTGTTTAAATGATTAACTTTTTACTTTTGTTCCCAAGTTCATTATTCTGATTCTTACTTTAAATGTTTGCTCTTTTTTGTTGGTTATCATTGTTCTTGTGGGATAATTGAGCTATTTTATATGTTTGGATTGATCTTTCCAATAAAGCCATATGCAACAATACATTTCAAACAGTACTTAGTGCACTAATTGACAGAGTAGCAAACAAATTTGGTTTCTGGAAATTTTACTATAATGACAATGTTATTTTTAGAGCAGGTAATGGCCACTGGGACACCACAAAAGAAAAATGTGAATACAGCATAAAAATAACATAAAGCATTTAATGATATCTTTGTTTGCATTTCTAAGCACAGTTTTCTTAGATGAAGTTCCGTTCTTGATAATTGCATAAAGAATGCATTGTTCTGCACTGACACAGATTTTGCATATTGTTTTGGTACCTGTACAAAAACAAAATCCTACTCTACAGGAATGTGTAGCTGAAAAAGACAGCAGTACTAATTTTCTTTTCTCTGACAAGATTCTGAATTTGTTTCTTCCAACACTCTAGTAAACTTAAGTTTAGTTTGCTCTGGAATGGTAATCTACGATCACCTTGTATTCCAGTGAATTGAAGCTAGATAACTTTTTGTTTATGCTGAACACATTCAATGTCCATTCAAAGTCATTTAAGCACTTTCTTTAGAGCTGATAAAAAATATATTTCAAATGAGTCCTTCACATCTTTAATATGCACCCGACTATTTTTCTGATTTTTTTTTTTTTTTTTTTTTTTTTTTTTTAATTTTTTATACTTGAAGTTATTTTCTTCCATGAAAATTACCATATAAGGGATGCAATCATTAGCTTTCTTTTTCATGAACTCCAATCAATAATTTCCTCTAAAAGAAGACACTTGATGTTTGCATCAAAAACTGTGGCACACCCCCTAACAATGACAGACTCATTTCATTCATTTTGCTACAAATTTTGGCCAATATAACATTTTCAACATTTAGTCTATATCATTTTAAACCACTGCCAATACAGTGTTAAAGTTCATTAAAACTGCTACTACCTGTGCATGCTATTTCATCATTATATCAATGCTTTCTCTTAAAACAACAATTTGCAGCAAGGACGCATGGTGACTTGCCATATTCTTTATACATTTTTAGTTTATAGAATCTGCTTTTAAGAGGTTGTGATTTTGCACAATTCATTATTTTTATTAGTACTTTTATTAATGAACCCTTATTAGTTACACAGCTACAGTTCACAAAAGAATAAAACACATAGAAAACCCATGGAAAAATCACTAAGGAATGACAATATTCTTGCTATAAACATTCACAACAAATTTACTATCATCTAATGATTATTAAATTTGCAAATGAGAGGACTTTCTGCTTTCTTTTTTACATTGCTTTATTTCATATAAGACAGGGGTGACTGTAATATGTAGTGAAAACATTTAATATATGGGAATACAAAATATTGTAACTAACATTACTTAATTAAGACATAATAACATGCCGAATAAATACTAATTCAGAAGTCAAAAAAAAAAAAAAAAAAAAATCAGCATTATATTTACAAAATTTTCACAGGACTAGTTTCGATGGATTTTCCTATCTTGTTCATTTGCAGTTTTGCAGCTGAGGATGGTGGTTCGGAAAAACCATTGAAACTAGTCCTGTGAAAATTTTGTAAATATAACGCTGATTTTTGTTGTTTGACTTCTGAATTAGTAACATTACTTAGTTCAAATATTAATGATGAAACATTCTAAGTTAAACAAAAATCCATATTTAATTAATTGAAATATATAACCAATCAATATATAACCTTGATTAATAACTCTTACCTAAAAAACAATCATACTTATACATTTTTTAGTCAACCATTCTTCATAAACAAAAACTATCAGAAAAACGTTGTGATTTAGTATCATAAATGCATAAGTGCGACCTCAGGAAACATTCGTAAGACTTTGAATAATTATCTTCAATCTTCATTTTATACAACCATGATCATCTGCCACCAGTTAAGTTTTTGCAACGACAAATTAACTGCTAATTCTTTGTTTTTCCCTTTCTCGCTGAAAACTAAATTAAAATTTAGCATCTGCCATCTACAAAATGGCAAGCATCAGAGTATTTTCAAAGTTATAGGGCTGGATATATTGATGCATATAACAAAAACATTTAAGCATTGCAAGGTTCGGCAAAATGCACAGTAAAAGGCAGAATGGAACCATGCAGCACTACATAAAATATGCATTTAAGCAAATTTACGAGGTGCTGAGTTCACACACACCTTAAAAAAATGCGATTATGGGAATCTATTGGTGCTAGTTTTAATGAAGAGTTTGAGCTCATATTTATTTAAGTTTTTTTATATGATATAACTGTTGATTGTCTAATTAAATAAAGAGCAAAGTACGATTAGCTTACCAGCAAAAGAGTGCTCTTTTACTTCCAACTTATGCCGGAATGGCTGTTATATATTTTTGAAGGTATCTCTGCCAACTTTCATGGTTCACAGTAAAATACATGAATTTTTTTTTTTTTTTTTTTAAGGGAGAGCAAAAATTTCTTTTAATACTTCCTTGATGCTATAAAAAGCAATGATAACTCAAATAATTTTCAGGAATTGCATATGACAATCAGTTTGTTAGCAAGGTTTTTGAAAATACTCCATCTTAAACACTTTTCAAAATACCATTTAAAACAAAAGAAATTTTCTTTCTTTTTTTTAGTAAATCAAGTGGCTAATATAGCACACAAATTTATTTGTCTTAAAAAAAGAAATAAAATATTACACAGTAATACACACTTTAATCAATTGAAAATGATCAATGCTTACTCGTAAAGTTTCATTTCTTTTGTCTAACCCCTGAATGATGGGAGCAAAGCGTTCCTGTCCTTCAATCTCTCCACATATAGTTATTGCTTCTAGGACTTTTTCATGTCTAATTAAAATAAAAAGAATTGCTCAACATATTTGAGTAAAATTTAGAATATATATATATGCAACAGTTTAAATTAACATAGTAACATATATACATACTTATGTCTATACCAAGATAAATGGGAATATGATGTTTGGATTGTTTGATTTTTTTTTGGGGGGGAAGGGTAACTAGTGGGATTCAGTTATCTAAAACAGGCCTGCAGGATATATACACACATTCCTTTTTATGTTTCTTTCAAGTGGCTTTCTGAGAAAGGAGTATTCCACGTTAGTGCAGCTTTTAGTTAGTTTCTTCTTATCGTAAATAGAGTAGGTTTTTTTTCCTGTAGTTATTCTTTTGTAGTTACTTTTTTTGTAGTGCTGACTGTTAGCAATCACTTTAATGGGGGGAAGGAAAATACACTTTGCAGTGAAAAATTGGGGGTATTTACTTCTAGTATACGAGCTAATCATATGTTAAGCATTTGAGGACATCAAGTATATTCAGGTAAATTACTGTATCATAGTTTTTTTGATCCAGAGGTAACTTGGGACAAAGCAGGGAAGGGTTAAGGTAATCATGTCCAACTGACAACTAACTGTTGTATAATGTTATGAATGAAAGATAGATTTGGAATTCAATATGTAAATAGCATATTTTCACTGCATGTCCTATCATTATGCAGATGATTTGGGATATCATGAAAGACTGAAATTGTAGCCAGAAGATCTGGTGAATAAAGTGGGTGGAGAAAATTTTATCAAATTCCTGTTAATTCATATATGTCTGCTTTATTGTATGTTGCAAGAATGGATGGCATTATAGTCAATGCTGAGCATAGAAGCACCAGGCCATGAAACCAGTTATTGGAATAACTACTGACATAACAACAATGTAATCTTTAGTCATTCCAATAGCTCAGGTATGGTGCCAGCAAAATGCATTAATCAAAATGTATTAATTAAATCACTGTAATATTTATAAATTTTAAGCTATTAATGCTTGACTTCAAGTTTTTTTTTAATCTGTTCAATGCTCATATTACCAGCCAAAACACAAAATTAATTGTCAGCCATATCGGAAATCAAAATTGGCTTTTTATGATTTTCTCACTTGATTGATAACAACATCCAGTGATAATCTGTAATTTGGCAGCAAATTTACTGAGATCACAATACTACCAGAAATGAATATACACAAAAACTCATAAATTACATTAAAAAATGTTGCAAATTAACTCACCCATTAGGGGGAACAAGGCACATAGCAGCCATTAATTTAACAGCATCCGTCATAATAACAGGCACAGAAGGATCAATAGAACGTGCTAATATGCTTAAAGCATTAGAATGTTGAAAGATTTGTTTCAAACCAACCTATGCATAAAATAACAAATTACATATAAGATATTTCAAAGACAGAAAAGAAACAGAAATTAATATTTCAATAAGGAATTATTTTAATTATATGTCAAAATGAAATATTATCCTATTATTTTCTTAATACTATGCTTTATTGCCATTTTTATTTGGATACAATATAAATATTATCAAACAGTGTTATTTTTAAGATCTTACTTGGTGTAATATAAAAATTATCATACAGGTAAATTTTCAGTATTCTGTTTTATTGTTATTTGTAATGTAATGGGTTAAAATTTAAGTTTTGGGAATTTTGTTATTAAGTTTTTACTTTTTATGTTTAAAAACGTTGTTCATGAAGTATCAAGAATGACACAATGGGTGAATAAATACTGCATAAAATATTCTCGGATGGAATATTCTCAAAGTATACATTGTTGCATACTCTGATAACTTGAGCATACCTACAATACCCCATCATCCTTAAAAAAAAAAAAAAAAAAAAAAAAAAAGTTTGCATTTTAGGAGTTAACAGGATTTAAGGTACTGACAGCAGGACTTAAAAATTTACATTTGAGTACAAAATTTAGTACCGTACTTACTATTAATAACATTATAAACAAATAATTCATATTTTATTTGTTACAATTAGTAATTGGATAATAAAATTGATTAAAATGCCTAAATTTGAATAGTATAATTTTATTGTTTGTATAGATTTGAACTGACAATAAATAACAATTGATGTCTTTAAAAGGAAACACTTTAAAAGATTTGTGAATTAAAAAAACATTTAGATTGCAGCTGATACTTCAAACTTATCAACAGCTTATACTTAACTTGCAGCTGATACTTAATTAACAGACTTCTAGTTTAAATGTTAACTTTAATCAAATACTTTTACCCATTCAAAGTTTATTTCAACTATTTAAATATCAAAAGTTTTGATATGCTGTACATTCAAAATACAATACGCTTGAAGTCTGCTGTAAGATTGCAATGATTCCTTTCCATTTTTCTCTTAGTATAACAAAGAAGTCTCATGCTTTTAAATAACATCATTAATAGTTTTTCATAAAAAAGGCCTCATACAAAATAATCTTATCACAAAGAGGTTATATTGTTCATAAACAAGTAGAAGCTCACCTCTTGAATGAACTATCCCCAATTACTTAACACTTGCACATTTGCATTACTCAGGAAAATGGTGAAAAACAGGCTATGATGTTCTTGGACAACAGATTATCTCTCAGCTGTTATGCTGATTCAAGTGCTTCGGCATGCGCCATTGTTAAACCTGTCATGTGCTACCACAGATTTTAAAATTTGGTTCTGTTACAAAGTATAGCTATACATTTTGAACTTGAAAACTGTATATAATAATCTATTTTTTCAGCTAAACTTTCTAAATGAAAAATATGTATACATATAAAATAAAAAACTATCAAAGATGTTTTGTAAAAATATATATATTTTATGATATGTATTTACTAAGAGCTGTATTTACAGCGAGATATTAGTCCATTATACAGCATACAGCTTTACGTGTAATAATCCATAAAATGTACTTCTTTAACTACCATATTACATAATTAACTATAATGTTCATTTTATATGCATACATGCATAGCTTGACTACTCTTTTCTTTTTTATTTGTGATGGCTTCTCCACTAAGCCAAACTTTCACTTCTTGCACATTAGTTTATGCAATGCATAGCTTGACTACTCTTTTCTTTTTTTATTTGTGATGGATTCTCCACTAAGCCAAACTTTCACTTCTTGCACATTAGTTTATGCAATGTAATTTTATGAAAGTTTAGCTCTTCATCACTTTAACATTTTATATTCAATATTTGCTCTTCTTCCCAATTTGTTATAATTAACTGATATATTTACTTACTACTTATTACAAGTATTTTACATATAAGTTTAAATTCTACATTTACCAGCATTCTACACATTTTACTTTACAGATTACTTAAATTTACAAAGAAATTGGGTGTTCATGCAAATCAACTATAATATATTAAAAAGAAAATTTTGCTTTTAGATTCTTATATTTGAAAAAACATCACACTCACTGTACTGTTCATCAGAGCTCTCAAACATTTGATGCATTCATGTTGAATGCGTTCCGTCTTTAATTTTCTACAAAGAAACAAAGCAAGAGTTAAATATTCATAAGAAATTAAAAATATGACAAAAAGCACATATATATAGTTGTTCAAACAAAAAAAAATTCAAATCTAATATAATAAATACATAAAAAAATGAAAAATCTGAAGTGAAAATTAAATATAGGTACTCAAACTCACTTTCCATAGCAAGAATTAAGTATCTGAAGCAATTTATCAAGACCACGGCTACCAAATTCTTGCACCCAGCTGCAAGATGGAAAAAAAATTAAGTAAATAAAGCATACATAAAATATACGGTACTATTCGGTTTCAAGGGCTGTAAAAAATCGCCAAGCTATTGTTGATGCCAATGCTGCCAAAAATAATTGCGGTAACCCTAATAATTGCGGCAAGAAAGGAAGTATAATAGTAAATAATTATCCAAGATTGATGTTTTAATTTAGATGAAAGGTTAATTTCAAATAATACTTTTTATTATTATAATTTATATGAAAAGGCTAACATGAATGAAGGAAGATAAGAGTAATAACATTTCAGATCATTATTAATATATATAAAAATGTTAAACATAACTGAATGGATCTTGCATTGCTATTTCGCTACAGACTTATGCTAAAGCATAATTTCATCTCGTTGGCTGTTCAAACGTAATTTTCTATAATGAATGATGCCTTTTCTTTGAAAATATTTTCGGTAAAGTGCAGAATCGCTCCCTTATTGGTTTGCCGCTTTTTACAAGGGTAAAAACAACTGAATTTTTGTCAATTTTCTTTTACTTTTTAAGTGAAAATAGGCTGATGTGCACATGGATACCGAGTATGTGCATTCTTAAAAACGCATCAAGCAGTGGGTGATTCTGCACTTTACCCAAAATTCTATTGCCGACTTTTCGTCATGGCAATTGCCAAATGTTAAATCCACAGAATATAAAAAAAGGATTTAAAAATTAAACTAGTATGTCAATGGCGTCTTAAGAAATATAGAACTATATAAACTTACGCAATCTGAAATCAACGCGTACGCTAGATTTGGTGCGCTGTTAAATGGGCGCGTTTGCCAGATTTGGCGCTTTTGCGCATACATTTTTGCTGAAATTTTTTACGACCCTCAAAACCGAATAGTACCAAATATACTTAACACTCCACAAGTATTGCAGCTCATTTTTATTTTCTGAAATCACTATAAAAACACGGATTCAGTCTTACCTGACTGTGTTATTAGTTAATGCAATCCGTAATGATTCCAAGTTTTTAAATAACTTATGAACACTTATGTCTGAATTACTTAAACATGAAATATAATCTTCAGGACTATCAAGACGACTTTTCTAAAAAAGAAAGACAAAAATTAATTAAAATAAATAAAATATGCAAATGCATTTTTATTTATAACATGCAAATAAATGCATTAATAAAATATGGAAATAAATAAAAAATTACATGCTAAAAAGTAACTTAAAATTATGTATGTATAAAAGCTTGGTATTCTCCAGTATTTAAAACTACCACTCTGCATTTTAGAATGTAGTTTTCAATGTACATATTTTTTAACTTTAGATTAACACATAACATAGTGAGCAAATTTTGGACAAAAAAAAAAAAAAAAAATGCACAGATGAAATGACCTAAAAAATTTACTTTTCCTTAATTTAAGTCTGAAATTCTAATCAATGTAATATTAAATCAGATAATGTATCAAACTACATAATTAGCTAAATCACAACAGGAAGATATATGAAATACATATTAACAGATCTATGCAATGAAAATATTTATATGATAACTCGAATTATAACTTACAACAGTACTTCCTTTCATGTGAATGCTTAATAAATATTTCTTTTCATCTAGGCCTTTATTCCTCAACGGCACTTTAAGCTCTTCAGATAAATTCATATCATCCTGAAAACAAAAGAAATGAACCATGTTACATAAATTACTCCATGAAGAAAATGCAATATCATAAAAATTATCTTACAACAACATTATGCAAATTTCAGAATGTATTCTAGGCTAATAAGTTATACCTATCAGTTTCAGTTGGGAAACATAATAATAATTAAAAAAATAATCTGAAAAGCTATATTTTTACAGAATTGCTTTTTTGTGGACATAGGCTTTTCTTGGTCAAGGAGACGATTACAGAATAACGAATACAGCAAATGTTGCCTGAAACACTTTTGTCAACCAGATGTATTTATTAGAGGTTTATTTATATAATCCATAACTGGTTAATTTTTCCTATAGTATTATGAGAAAAACTCTACGAAACATTACAACCACAGGTTAAAATTGGAAAAATAGTTAGAAAAAGGAAATGCCATTCATTACATTACACTTAAAGCTTCAATATGAGCATCACAACACAGGTCAATACATGTCGAGAAGTAGCAGCTCCACGATTCAAACCTGCCTACTATTCTCTTGAATATTCAAAGATAATTAAATACTTCAGTAACGATGCACACAATTTCTCATCAACTAAGTAGCTAGTTGGTTTAATAATTGATCACAGCATAGAGCACAAAATTATCTGCCTTAGAAAGAAGACCAAGAGACTTGAAGCATCTCAAATAAAGGTGTAAAAGCACATTTATGCTATCTTACTTCTAATATAACCCATAAAAAGGAAACCAAATCTGACATGCTCTCTGTATGATCTAAAAAATTGTCCTTTGATTATGGGCGACTTTAATAACAACGAAAGAAACTTCACTGTGACAACATGGAAGATTTTACGAACTCAAGACCTATTCAATATGACACAAATTCTCTCAAAAAAACCTATGTTTTATTCTTTTTATGGCAAGATTTCAAGCCTAGATTTTGGAACTTGCTTGCCCATAACAACTTCCCATTAAATACCCATAATATGCTTCTAAACAGACCTGGGGAATCTTCAGCAGAAATTACTTTCCATATGTTCGGTTTTTTGAAGCAAAATAAAAACTCCTATTAAAACTTTTAAAAAAAATCACAAGAAAACTTTATTCAGATAACAGGAAAACATTTTTCTTCATTTTATTAAAAGACTGAGATGATAAAACATGAACAATCTTTTTTACTCATCCAAAACTACGTTTAAAAATGTTTAAGAAACACAGAAACCCACATAATAAATAATTATGAATTAACAGAGCTGTATGCTTTATGTGTGTAATACAAAATCACTCATTTGCCATAAACAAACTAAAGATGTGGAATAAAAAAATATATATACAGTGCAAAGTCCAAAATCCAGACATCCAATATCTGGAAGAATCCAATATCTGAACCTTGTGACCACCAGCCAAAAATAAAAATAATAAATACAATAAAATACTAAAAAAAATCCTCCCTTGCAAAGTTTAAGAATAGAGAATATGATAACAAAAGGAGGCAGGTGTACCATAAATAGAGTTTTTATTTGGACAGAGATTTCTGCATGTCACTTTTAACCTGGCATTACTTGCGTGAGAAAAACGAACAGGATTGCTTGTGCTGGGTATGACATACCTAGGATGGTTTCTTCCTTTCTTTTACCATTAAATCTGCACAAAATATAAAAGAACAATAACATGGAAGAGAAAATATAGTTTTAAACAGATATTAAAAATTTTACCTTTAATTTTGCACATTTTCGGAAAAGCATGCCATATGTTCCATGCATACATGTTTTTCACATTTTTAACAGACAAACTTAGATTTTCTGTTTTTTTGGCCCTGCATTCAGCACATCTTTTATATAATATCTTTACCTTTTAGCAGGAGGTGTATCAGCCTCCTTGTTGCCCAGTTTTACTTTTCGGCTTTGTAGGAGCATTGCTTGTTGACTTCTTTTCTTCTTATAATATTCTATCACTTAAAATTCACTGTTTTTAGAAATGAACATCGGGCTCAATGCCCAGTAGGTGGTTTCTTTTTTTGATGACAAAAATTATGCGTGCATTTATTGCAGCAACATTCAACATGGAAAAAAAAAAAAAAGCTGTAGGCCAATGACTTGTTTTTATAGCTGTTGAATACGTTACAGCCATTTCATCCACGACATCCACAATTTATATTTTTAGCAAAAATTCTAACATTTCCATGGAATTTCATTTTACTTCATTTTTTTACATTATTTCCTATAATATAGCCACTTTCATTTGAATCAGAAAGATCGACCCCTACATCAGATTCTATCTCAGGTGAAGATTCGTGCTCATTGTAAATTTCTTCATCATCCACCTCTTCATTATCGGAAAATAACAAAGACAAGACCTGCTCAAGACTTTATTCACCCGAAGAAACAGTGTTAAGTAAATTTCTTAAATGTCACATTTCTTCTTCATAACTTCGAAAACACGTCATAATGAGAGTATGATTTCAGTTCTACCAGCATTCAGAATTGTAACAGTAATGCTCGCACTGGGTGTGACATACCCTGGAGTGGAGATTTACAAGATATCTATTTTCAGAACTCTTTCCCTTATTTTTCTCTTCCAAGGCAACTATAAACTACCTTGGGGGCAACTATAAAAAAAATCACCCATTTAAAAAAAAAAAAAAAAAGGTTGAAGAGAAACAGCAAAAAAACAAAGGGGGTGGGTATGACATACCCAGCGAGATCAAACCCGGGTTAAATATACACTAGAGAGTGGCATCATGAACAATAACACCGCACTAACTGATGTAGGCCAACATCACATTTTCAGTTTTAAGTAATTGTGGGGACAGGGGAAGGATCAGCACAACACATTTTAGTGCATGATGCAATCTCTGCTGGTCCTAAATTCTAAGAACTTTGCTGCCCCTAAATTCTACTACACACTGCCTCTCTTAAATTCTAAAAATTTAGGCTTCCCCTAATTTTTGCTGCTTGGTGCTCCTCAAAATTCTAAAATTTTTGCCACTGCTAAATTCGGACACCTGGCTATGGCTATACCAGTTGTACCTGCTCTGGGGGGGGGGCACACCAATTGCTCCTACCTGTGGGGAATTAGCATTTTGCATTTTTCTATCTGTCCTAAACAATAAGAATCAATGCTGACACATCTTAGTATCATCTAAGCACACTTAAACTGATGTTCTAAAATCTGGAAATTTTTAAATCTGCTGAATTGCTGAATTCCTAACAAGTCTGGATCTTGGAGTTTGTGTTATATAAAATCTACCAGGTTCTCACATAGCCAAAGAAATGAAATACTTTATTCAAGCAAAAAAGCATTAAAATTAAGATGATAATGTGAACAAAACTTGGTACTTGGTTGATTATCCATCCTTCCATGAAAAGTTGGCAACTCATTTGTAATTTTGTAAATTGGCCAAAAAAAAAAAAAATTGTTTGGCTTTTAGGTACTTTTCTGTTCATAGATAATGATACAGAAAAACATTTTATAAGAATTTTACTTGAAAATAAGCAAAACTCTATATGGCCAATATTTACATTTTACAACCATATTTTCCTTTGTCTAACACTAAATGAAACAAAAAGCTGTTGAAAAGAAACAATTGTGTATGCTATAAATGCTTATCCGGGTTGGAACTCATTTATATTATTATACACCAAAAAGTCCTCACCAAGTGTTTTATGGCAGTTTTACCAAATGTTGAAATTGGGGGCATGGATAATCAGAAAGTCCCATAAACTTTAAAATAAATAATGATTTTTAATGTGTAAATTAAATTAGAAATTTTATGAAAGCACATTAATTTCCATATGTCAAATGATAAGCAAAAAATAAATTAATAAATAACGATTTCTTACCAACATGGACTCAAACTGAATGTTAATTTGTTCATCTGTCAGAGATTTTAAATTATTTTCTGCATCATTCTGAACTTGGTCAGTAAAATCATCTGACTGAGGTCTCTGATTATGTACCCATTTTCCTTTGTCTTTTCTTGATGCTTTCCCAAGTCCACCAAACATTTCAAGCTATAATTGCAAAGAAAGGTTTAGGGAAAAAGAAAACTGCTTTACTCTTGTATAACCTAAATTCTTTAATAAATTACAAATATTTTAATACTCACTGTATACACTGTTAATTTTTGTAATTTCACAATTTTTAATGTTAGCTTACATAACAAAAACCAGAATACTAAGGCAGATTAATTAGTATATTCTACAGTCACTGAAGCAATTAATTTATATTTCTTTTCCTGCTGATGAATCTTAGATTCCTTCTAGTTATAAACCAAGAAAATTTCAAAAGCATAAAAGCTGCAAAGTCACAAAATTTAGAAGCTACAAAATCCTGAAATCATATAAGAAAGGGGGTTATATTAATCATATAACTACGCTGAATAAATATGTTTTTTTTTATTATTATTTTGAATTTCTTTCAGGTTATCATAATTTTCCAATTTTAAGAAATTTTATTGGGCATAAATTTTCTTGAAAACAACAGCTTTTGACTAAAATCTGTCATTTAGCCATAAATAACTTTAAATATAAATGATAAGTATTTCTGATTTTTGATATTCAATGTCAAAAGAATGCACTTGCAAGAGATTCACATCAAAATAGTTTGTGGGTAATCTTTAACTTAAAAAGTTTTTGACAACTATGGCGCTAGGTAAAACTAAAGTACATTCAAGAGCCCACTTGCCAGTCAATACTTCATTGGTAATTACAATTGATGATCTTGCTGGATTAAGAAATTAATCTAATAATGATGTCCAACTTTAGAGAGTAATCTATGATGAGAATATAGGTTCAATGACTGATGACAACATGGGTGATTCGAATGAAGACCTGGAGGTCAATCGTTGCAAGCCCTATTAAAAACAGAAATACGAGTGCTGGGCAAATAGAAGGATAACAACATAACTTTGAAATATTAAAGACTGAAGATGAAAGGAGAAAAGCAAAATGTTTTGTGGATGTTGAAATGGCAAACTGCGAAGATAATAGAAGATTCTTCTTTTGCAACTGATAAAGCCTCAAAAAATATTCAAGAAGCTCGACACTCAGCCAAATTGTCACAACAAATGGAACAAATTTTATGACTTCCAAAGTTAAAATTTCCAAATGCAAATGTAGAAGAAACCTTTCAAATAAATAAAATAATAAAAATACCAGATGTAAATAGGGGGAAAATTGATAGCAGAAATATTGGAAGCTGTTCTAATTTTTAAGGAAAATAAAAACTTATAATATTAGATAGAAAACATAGCATTTTAAACCAAGAAATAACTTTATTGTCTGCAAAGCTTTTATTTCAGTATAAGTAACCAGATATTAAAAGTTCAAAGAAGTACCAGATATTAAAATAAGTCTGAGAGAACATGCTTTAAGAGTTCTAATTTAGGTACTCAAGGATTTCAGCATTGCAATTGTACCTTAAATCGATGCAAATATAAAAAGTCAAAAATTCTTTGCAACTCCAAATGCCACAGAAGTTCTTCCTACCAATATAAAGAATTGGTTAAAAAATATTCTTATGTGCATACACATTCGTAATAGATTGAATGCACACAGAACTGATGATAGCTTAATAAAATTTATTTTACCAGAAGATACACATTACAGTTCTGGAACTTTACATAATTTTACTCATACAGCACTTCTCTGTATCACAGAGTTCAATCAGTAGTTACACTTCAAATTACAGTCAAAAGTCTTTAATCCAGACGTCCATAATCCGAAATGATCTATAATCCGGACCTCAAAGCTAGAAACTTTCTGCGCATGCGTAAACACATAAAGCGTCTACGCATGTGCATATAACCTTTACGAATGCGCGTTTAATGTATAATGGACGGTATAAGCTAAGCTAAAATTATCTAATTATCTATTTCAGTTAATGTTGCAGATTGCGTTGTTCCTAATCTTCAAATTGGATCTGGCTTATTATTTTTTGCAGACAGTTAGAGCAATTTTATAAAAACAAGCTTGAACTTTCGATTATGTCAAAAAGAATTTCCGATTCTGGAGCTGCCAAAGGATCTACAAAGCGAAAGCATGCTTCGATGACCATCACACAAAAAGTGGAATTGCTGCAAAAAATGGATAAAGGCATATCCTTTATTTCTCTAACCATTCCGAAATCTGTTTATCAATTTCACGCTGCTCTGCGGGGGGACGTCGTGGTGCGCAATGAACTGGAAGTTAATCTGTCAGCACTATTCTTATCTCCTTATCTTCAGGTCAGATGTTTTTATTTTATTCGGCTTATAATTCCTCACTAAATGTAGTATTTCATCTCGATGTACTCTGTCTTTGATATAATTTAAATCAAATTTCTCGTAATTATAAATATCACGAATACACATCAAATAGTTTTCTGGTTGCAATTTTCTAATTTCGACTATGCATAATGTATGCTTTACGCATGTGTGCGTTGAAAGAAATGTTTAATAAAGTAAACAAATAAATATTAAGCTTTTTTTTTTTGTAAATTTTGATACCCTTTAGATCATAATTGCTCTTTATTTCATAAATTACGGTTTCATATTTTTAATTTTCTAATTTCTGCATGCCATCTTACCAGATTTAAATTGATGATCTATAATCCGGAATCGCCGAAGTCCCGATGAGTCCAGATTAAAGACTTTTGACTGTAGTAAATCCAAATCATGTCATTTACCTCAATGTTAAATAAAATAGACTTGCCCCTACAATTTTATTTTTTCAGCACAGCTTCATCTCTTTCAAACATTTCATGTTACATTATACAAAAAAAATACTAAAATTTCACTAATATGATTTAAATATATATATATATATAATTCAAAACAATATAATATTGTTATTTATAATTGAAGAAACTAACATTCCAATTTCCAGACAAGGCCACAGATTAGGTGGCTAGACAATGTGGAAAAGTGGTTAAATTCATTGATGTCTGTAGTGTCGCTTCAGTTCCGTCAAGTTTCTAATTAAATTTAGTTAAAGTGGAATGGCAACACCTTCTAGTCTCCGCAAAGAATGAAGTAAACAAACTTCGGCTTTCTGTCATGCGATTGAACGTGCATTTAAAATGTAAATAAATGTTATGAATAAGAATCTATAACTTCGTAAGGAATAAAATATTGGTTCCATTGGAGTCAGAGAAGTGTTATTTTTCTATATTTGCACACTAGACACTTCACTGGTGACCCGGATGTTATCGAATTCTACAATGGCTGATGAAGACGAAACCGAAATTAAAGCAACAACTGCATCTGTCGCCAAGGTAAGTGTTAAAGTTCCTCCTTTTTGGAAGCCAGATCCCTAAAATGGTAGTTTATTCAACTAGAAGCACAATTTAGAATGCAAAAATAAATGCAGATCAAACAAAATATGATTATGTTATAAGTTCCATTGAACCCGATATTTTATCACTAGTGTCTGATATTTTGCCAAGTCCACCGCAAGATAATAAATATCAAGGCAATTAAAAATAGACTAATTTCATTATATGCAGATTCAGAGACTCAAAACCCCAAAATTACTGAGTGAGTTAGAACTGGGTGAGAAAAAGCCATCTCAACTGCTGTGTGAGATGCGCAATTTGGTGGGCGAATAAAGTAACAGATACTTTCCTAAAAACATTGTGGCTACAACATTTATCTGTTAATATGGGTAATATTATATCTGTTAGTGGTGAAGATTTGTCAAAAGTGGCTACAATGGCCGATAAGATTTGGAATTAAACCTGTTACTCCCCAAATACCTGCTGCATCATCCATAACAGTAAAACGGAAGTGATTGAAAGTTTACAAAACATGTTTCTTGAACTTAGCTTACAAGTTCTGCTTTAAAAGCAATGCCACAGTCGTCCCTATTTAGTAACCGATCCAAATCACGAGATAGGAGTTACAGTGGTAACAGATCTAGTGATATTTGTTACTATCATAAAAAATTCGGTGATAAGTCATTTAAGTTAAACAACCCTGCACCTACTACTCATCAACATCACAGACAAATAGTCCGAAAACCAGCTCCCCGTCTCTCATTGGCGACGGAGGGGTGCAGCTGAGTCGTCTTTTCATCAGCACGACAAAGAATCGGCTACCCAATTTCTAATAGATACCGGGGCAGAAATTTCTGTCATTCCTCCATTGCCTGCAGATAAAAAAAATCTCAAATTAGAACTCTTTGCTGCAAATGGTACGAAAATTAAAACATATGGCCAAAAATTACCAAGCTTGATCTTGGACTCAGACGATCATTCACATGGCCTTTGTAATTGCGGAGGTAAACAAACCGATAATAGGCATGGATTTTCTGCAAATTTTAACATTTTGGTAGATTCTAAAAATCGCAAGTTGATTGATGGTACTACATTCTTAACAACCAATGGAACTCCTTGTTTTCAAATAACAATAATACTATTCCGATTTTAAATGCCGTAAATGATCCATATAAATGTATCATTAACGATTTTCCTGATTTATTAAAACTGAATGTAGTTAATAAAGTTAAAAATCATAACATCGACATTATTATCGAAACCAGAGGTCCCCAGTTTTCGCTAAAGCCAGGAGACTATCAGCTGAGAAACTCAAGCGGCTAAAAAGAGTTTGAATTTATGCTCCAAATGGGTTTATGCAGGCCATCCAAAAGTAACTGGTCGAGCCCGCTATATCTCGCTATGAAGAAATCAGGTGATTGGAGGACCTCACGGAGACTATCGAGCGTTAAACAACGCCATGATTCCTGATAGGTACCCTCTCCTATTTTTAACAGATTGCAGTTCTATTTTAGCTAGAAAAAGAGTTTTCTCATCCATAGACGTCATTAGAGAATACCAACAAATTCCGATTTGCAAAAAAGATATACCGAAGAATAGCCATTCTCACTCCCTTTGGCTTATTTGAGTTCCCATTCATGACGTTCAGCCTACGAAATGTGGCCCAAACGTTCCAACGTTTTATAAACAAGTGTGTTGAATGCAATAGAATTCAGGTTTCACTATTTGGATGACATTTTAATAGCCTCTCCTCAGATGA